CATGAAATTGACTGCTCTACAAATAGTGAGAATAAGCTATTTCCACATTGGTACAGTTTCTTCGAGATAAATGTAAATTAGAAGAGAAGTGAGGCTAAAAGTACCTATGCCTTACCGAAAATCAATTATTTTAACCAATCTAAATCATTGTGTGTAATTTTTATATTAATTTTCACTGTTGTGTGATTTTGTGTAAATTTGTGTAATTTTGTGTATTTTTGTGTATATTGTGTAAATTGTGTCAATTGTGTACTTTTAGTACCAACCTTGAAAATGGTTCTTGTTTACATTGAAGGTTTCATTAACATTCGTATCAGCTGTGCTTTATCTCACTAAATTGACTAATTGATAGCAGATGACACCACTCTCCAATTTGTTAATAATGAAATAAAAGACGGAAAATTAAATCATAAAACTCCCCGAAAATCAATAGATTATCAATAAAATCCATCAATAAAATCCATCAATAAAGCTTCAAAATGTGTCATATTTTTGTTAAACACTTACTAAATTGAGTTTTCCAAGATATTCAAAAGTAAACATATCGTCATCAACGAGCAAAAGACTAGCTAAATTGTAGTAACCATTAGGATTGATTCCAGGTGAATTTTTATCTGTAGGAAACATGCTACAGGATCCACCCTCCTCAAAGAGGTAAGAAACTCCGAGGTTATAATCATAAATAGCTTCAGTTGTTATGCCAAGAAGAGATGATTTTATTCGTAATAATTTGTGCTTTCTTGATGCATGAATCTGGAAATGAAATGAAAATGAGTTTAAAATGTGAAATAATAGTTGACCAAATAAACTAACCTCACTGAATGTTCGAGTAGCAGTTGAACCTTTTATGTACTCGTACATAGTGTAATGTACATAACTAACTTTCAATATAGGGAAATCAGGCCAATTCGGGGCCAGGTAAAATGGGCATCCAATTCCAGGTAAGGGCTGATCAACAGTCAATGAAAATACAGAAACATGAAAATCTTGAAAATTTTACGATTATTGTAAAGGCGCTTATTAAGTAATAAAAAACGACAGAGAAAGTGTAAAAATTCAATTAATATTGATAATGAATATATGACAATAGATGCATACAATGATAAATTGAATTCTTGATTGATTTGATCTCACAAAATATTTTATCACCATATTGTGATGTTTTGTGCCTGATTGTCTTGTGATTGTGATCTTCTCTATTGCAAATTAAAAACAATTAATGTGAATGAAAGCAAAGTAAAATACTTACATGAATTTCATTCGCAAGTTCATCATAATCGTTCTCATTTTGAAGGTAAATTTCAAGATTAAGATTCTCCTTGTTGAGGAGTGAACTTGAAGCTGGATCATAACCACTGAATTCAATTCGACTTGGATATTTTATTCCAAAATCATCATCGAAATGCTCTATTTTTGTAGAAGAAAAGGATGGAAATGGTTGAATTTGGTCAATCATTTAACTTATCAATCAATTCCTACTTACTTTTGTAATAATAAGTGATTTTCAATCTTCCATTTATGTCAGTTGTCGCGCCCTTCATCATGGTTCCTCTTATGTTTTTATCTTCAACTGTTTTCTGTTGTTCAACAGATGAATTTGATTAAACATTCTCATAATGTTGTTGACTTACTTACCCAAACAATTGAGGAATGACTAAGTCGGTATAAAATTGAAGGTCCCATTAAGAGTACCAGATTAGTTACAGGTTTGACGATTCCAGGTAAAGTTTGATCCCAATCATTCTTGTTAAGATTAATGTTCTTGTAATAGAATGATATACAATTTGTACCTTTAGATCATGAAATAAGTAAAAATTGATATTAAGATAACTTGATTTTAATTTCTCACGAATCCAACCATATTTCAGAAAATTGTTTATTTTTCTTTAGTTTTATTAATTCTTAATGTTAAACTCTTACCATGAATAACCAAGCGTACGTCGTTACGAGTATTAGTATCATGATAATAGATTTTGTAGGAATCCTTTTCACCAGAGATCACAATCTTGCCTCTAATGTTTGAACCAGAAGCTGATATTGATTCTTGAATGAAATATTTAGTCCCTGCATTCTGAGACACATAGCATTAAGAGTTAAAATAGTGAAAATTGTTTGGTTGTTCAACTTACGATATCAGTTAGAGTAGCGTTAATGTTAGCGCTCTTACTAGGTATACTTAACGGTAAAACCACCAAATCTGTAGCACTTCCTATGCTCGTTAAAAGTTGAATTAGAAATTCAGTGAGTTTATATTACATTAAATTAATGAATATCTTTTTCTTACCTGTTTTAATTGTTGAAAATAAGATGACTACAATTGATAATATAAATAGCATTTTGTTTCTTTCATTTTGCAGTGAAGATGACATGTTGAGAATTAATAAACAAACACAATCAACTGTAACAATTTCAATTTAATTTTGTTATTGAACGTTTGAAAATGATGCGAATGTAAATTGTAATCGGTTTTTAAATTCATTGAAAATCATTTCACAATAAGAATAAACGCCTAAGATTATTCGTTCGATTACTTGCTATCAAATCATGTTTCAATAAATAACAGCTCAAATAAGATCGTTTATTGCGACTCTAACCTCATATTACAAACATTACATTTTGATTGGAATTGCAAATATTTGATTTGTACTTAAATTGTGCAGGATGTAAAATGATAAGATTAAGGTTGATTTTTTAAGGTTGTTACTAAAAATTGTCAAATTGTAAAACAGATTAGTTCGATTTATAGTTAAACTGATCGCTTTCTATGGCCGTAAGAGTTAGCGAGATGAAATTTATTATTTGTTCAGAAAAATTGTTGGTTCACATCATAGATTAAATATAATACTTTCAACAATTTAACAACAGTTCACTTGATTTTAGCCATAGGTTTTAAAACTTTATAAATGTATTTCGAGAATAGCATTACTTACAATCATTCTTTCTCCAATTTAATTCTTTACTAATTAATAATTTAACTCAATTTAATAACTTTCCATCAGTACATTTGAGTCATGATGAACCCAGTCACCTAATGAAAAATAGAAGCAATTGTGTTCAAATAGAAATCTTCATTTTAAAACAATCTTCAATGATAACATAACATTATGTATTCATTTATGCAGCTTCAAATGCTAGTGAGAGGCCAAATATTAAGAGGCCTTTCACGATCTTGACCATGAAACAGTTAAACTTCAATGTATGATAGATTGACTAGTTTAGAAAGTTATATTTCTTGGAATCTATTGATCAAATGAGGAAAATTTCATGTGCCTATGCGATAGAAATATTTTAGTAGATTGAATCTTTTTCTATGTTGATTTATTTGTCAGCAAATTGATTCCTTCTAGATCATTATATTGAATATGAACTCTCATCAGTCATCAATCTTCATCAGTACAAAAGATATAATTTGATGAATTTTAATAAGAAGATAAAATTAGGCCGAAGCAAGCAAAACAAAAATTGAATACAGTTTACTGCTATTATGAAAAGCAGCGATAAGGTTTACACTGAAATTTACATCTATGGTTAATTTCAGGTCCTGCAATCTCAAAATGAGGTTCCATCGATATTTCCAGCTTGTGCATCTACTTGTCTCGTCCAAGTGAAACTTTGGTTGACTTCTGAAGCATTACGCATTTGTTTTACTTTTTTGTAAACAAATGGTGCAGCGAATCCCAATAAAGCACCGACAAACAAGAAGAGCATAATTATTCCAAAAGCACCTGATCCACTTGTTCCTTTGGTTAAATCAGTCAAACTGGATTCTTTGCTTTTTATTCCATTTGACTCCACCTTCAACTCGTAATTTGAACAAACTCCTCCTTCAGTGGTCTTAGTATTTGAACTTTTAACTGAAAATTGAGTTAATGAACAAGAACTTTCTGTTTTACTTTTAGGGCAATAATTAAATGATTTACATCCAGTGTCACCATCGGACCATCCATGACATAATGATGCACACTGTTCAAAATTTAAATTCATTTCAGTGTAAATCACATCTGAAACGATTTTGTTGCCCGTTTTCTGGTACTTTTCAGATACTTTGGCTAAGCAAATTAATGAATAAATTAATTAGTGAAAAAAACTTGTTACTTATTTTAAAGAATACTTACGAATATATACGCTGCATTCACCATCATATTCAGTAGCTGCATCTGTATAAACACCACCAAAACTACATTGATAATCACACCATTGGAAGGAGAAACAATCAGGTGAAGCATGACAAGATTCTGCACATGAATAAATACTTTTGTGAACTGCTATTGAAGTCTGAGTTTTAAATTTCCTATGAGCTACTTCTGAGTAATCATTAAGAACATTCAAAGCGTGAACAGAGCATGATTTGTCTTGTTCAACCTGCGATTCATTCTGAAAGTCTTCAGTCAATAAGCTGCTGACTCTACAGTCACCATTTTCACAGAATGAGAAAATGTTGCATTGTAATTGCTCTGAATTATGACAGGTTCGATAACAGTCGGCCAAAGTTTTCGCATCTGGTACAATAACTGTAACTTGATCATTGCCTTTTAATTTTGAATAAGCTTTTATTCTGGATTGGAAGCCCACATTCGAGGTATCTTGGTTTTTCGTTTTGTCGATAATATCATTAATTTTAATAGGTTGATCTGCAAAGAAAAAGTTTAAACAAGAAATGTTTTATATTTTTAATAATAATATTCAGAGTGTGTACGGCTGTGTGAAATATTTGCACTGTCTAACCTCCCAATATAATTAAAACTAGTGTTATGTTCCTCAAACTTCACAATCAGATGACTTTCCACGAAGTCAATAATCAAATTTTTTTACATTTTCGAATGCTATTGTACAGTCAAACCTCTCAAAAGTTGCAGTAACGGGCCAATCGTTCGCAGATGGCGCCACCAAAAATCTCTTAAAAAAGGAGGAGACTCGTCTCTTTCTTTGATGTTTCTCTTTCTTTTGTCTCTTTCTATGCAACTTTTGAGAGGTTTGACTGTAATTGGAATTTTTCAACGGTTTCATTCATTCAAGTTATAAGCACTCAAAAGTGGAATTATGTCATTATAGTCAGAGACTGGGAAGTTGAACTGTTCCGAGCCTTATTTTTCTCGTTTAAATCCCAAATGGAGCAATCTAAGCTAAATCTCAACCTGAGGGCTCATTATGAGCGCTCAATCTGAAAGCTCAACCTGAGAGCTCAATATGAGAGCTCATTGAGAGCGCTCACATTGAGATCTCATTTTAAGTACTCATTTTAAGTAAAAGTAAATCTCAGCCAGAATACCTCACTAATCCATCCGAATAACCCTTAACGCTCCACAACGAGGACTCAAAGGTCTTTAAAAAGGAACTTTTGTTTTACTTTAAGCCAGTTGGCAATCCTTCTATTGTAGAAACAAGTTTTTCTTACTCTTTTCATTTGAATAAAATTTACTTTCGAAAACGAACTCTACAATCTTGGCGCAGTCGACAGGATGGCCAACAAGTTTCGTTTCTATTTTGAGAAAAGTGAAAATCAATCTATTCATCTTACAAAGTATAAATTGTTTGATGAAAATGAATGGACAATCGTCGATAATCAGTATCGCGATACCAGCTCACATAGTGTTTTACTTTCGAAGCCCTCCGTAGGGTCGGCTCTCGAAAATTTTACTCGTCATCGCACCCTTGTCGTGCAATTATCAGCAGAGGAGTCTACTCCTTATTTAAAAAATGACTTTGGTTGTGTCCTTTCCGATGAAAGTGAAATTGAAGCAATGAGTGCTACTTCAGTGCCACCATCTAATGGGTCACAAGATTCAGTTGTTTTACAAGCTGTGAGTGAAATGATTAAAGCTCAACAAGAGATGTTTGCGAATACTCTTAAGTGTTTTCAAGAGTCACTTCGACCTCTAGCAAACCAAAAGATTCATCGTATGGAGATCTCAAAGTTTGATGGGAAAACCGAAGACGCTAAAACATGGATGTGCACTTACGAGAAGATGTGTGAACATAACAACTGGCGTGAAGATAAAGCTAAAATCAACGGTCTCAAGTCTAATCTTGAAGGCAACGCTCTAAAGTGGTTCAACAGTATGATCAGAGACAACGTCAGTGAAGATTGGGAATTATGGAAAAGTTCATTTCTCCGTTCCTTCGGTCATAACCGTGTTAGTTGTGCTAGTTTGGCATTAAAATGGGAATATAGAAGTGGTGATATATTCGACTACTATTATGACAAGCAACGTCTTATTCAATTGGCCTTTCCTGAGATAGACGATTTCAACTTTGTTACATTGGTACTTCTAGGATTACCTGATACCATTCAAAATCAACTATCCACTCGTCAACTTACAACTAAACAAGAACTGAGAGATGCCTTGGAAACCATTAAACCACCAACTCAGAGTAAGTCTCATTCAACTATTAGCAAGAATACTTTCAGTCAGAATAGTAAAACCCAAGTCAAGCTTCCCAATCAAAGCCATAAGTATAATAAATCTTCAGATGGATTCATCGCATTAGATGAGAACATGGAGAAAGTTAACAACGAGCTGAGCACTCCAAATGAGAGCTCAAATCGAGATCTCATAATTAGATCCCAAAATGAGAACTCAAACAGAGATCTCAATTTCAGTACTCAAAATGAGCGCTCAGATCGAGAGCTCATACCCAAACCAGCATATTCCCTATTCAACGCACTATCAAGTGATTTAGAGCCAAAAACCTCCATAGAGATACAAGGAAAATCTTATGCATGTGTGTTAGATTCAGGATCAGATAAAAGCTTTATTAGATCTAATATTGTTCGTGAGAATAAGTGGACAGTTTTAGAAAAACAGCAGCTCATCAAGCAAATGAATGGAGATACTTTCACAGTAGATAAAGTCTGTAAGCTTGAAGTTAAATTTAAAGGAAAGTTAGCAAAGCTAGAACTTTTGCTACTTGACTCACTTCCATTTCCAATTATCTTAGGTTACTCAGACCTGAAGCTTCTAGGTGTTAGTCTTTGCCAGAAACCAATAAGTGATGCCTTATTAAGTTCTGAAAATGAGCGATCAAATCGAGTGCTCAATTTGAGTTCTCAAAGTGAGACCTCAGAACGAGCACTCAGAATGAGCACTCAAGATGAGATCTCAAAAAGAGAACTATTAGAAATCGTATTGACCAAAGAAGAAATCAAACGTGCTTTTCCTAGGCTTTGTGCTTTGACCTTACCTGATTCGAACAATTTTGTTGACTTCAAACTAAAAGATGATCACTCCATTGTTCGGCGTAAGCCATACCCAATGTCTCCTCATAAACTATCATTTGCAAGACAGAAAATAAAAGAATTGCTAGAAAAGAAAATCATTACTCATTCAAATTCTAATTTTGCTTCACCAGTAACTTTAGCCCCTAAAGAAAATGGAGATCTCAGATTTTGTATTGATTACCGAGAGGTTAACAAACAAACTGAGTTAGACCCTTTCCCTTTTCCAATTATTGATGATATAATTAGTTTGTTCGGAGGCTGTCAGTTCTTTTCAAAAATCGATCTTAAAGATGGATTTTGGCAACTGCCTTTATCTCCTCAAACTAGAAAGTTTACAGCATTTGTCACTCCTTTTGGACACTATGAGTGGACTCGCCTTCCGTTTGGTTGGAAAAATAGTCCATCTCTATTCCAAAGACATATGAACAAATTATTATCAGAACTATTGGAAACTGGAAAAGTATGTGTATATATAGATGACATATGCATAGGAGCTAGATCGGAAGAAGAATGTAAAGCTCTTACACTCTCAGTGTTATCGAAATTGAATGAAGCAAAAATGGTGATTAATCTTGAAAAGTCTGAATTTAACAAACCCTCTGTGAAATTTCTTGGTAGAATAATAGATGGTAATTCCAAGACTACAAAAGCTGAATCTATTGAAAAAGTCCGTAACATGAAACCACCTCATGATTTACACTCCCTTCGACAGTTTACAGGTTTAACAGGACATTTCCGTAGTTTCATTAAAGATTATGCATCCATTGCTAGACCCTTAGACAGACTGAAAAGAAAAGATGCACCTTTTGTTTGGAGTAATGAATGCCAAGAATCTTTTGACAAATTAAAAATTTTGATAACTTCAAATCCAGTACTCAATCTACCTGACTCTGAACTTCCATTCGAGTTATGTACTGATGCGAGTGGGTTTGGTTCTGGCTCAGTGCTGTATCAAAGAGATATTAAGAAACCGAAAAATCAACAGCTGCGAGTGATAGGTTTCCAATCATATACATTTTCAAAACAAGAAGTTAACTATTCAATAACTGAGAAAGAAGCGCTTGCTGTGATCAAAGCCATAAAATATTTTAGGTCATTTTTAGAAGGTCGTCCTTTTGTTGTTCATACTGACCATGCAGCTCTTGCTTATCTCATGGACTTGAAGGAACCAAAAGGAAGATTGGCACGATGGCAATTATTTTTAATGTCTTATGAGATTAAAATTGACCATCGACCAGGCAGACTACACTCTGATGCCGATGCATTATCACGACTTTGTCTAGATCAGCCAGCTCATGTGTTTCTTTCCACCTACTTATCATCAATTCGGACAAGATCTCAAAATGAGAGCTCAAATAGAGATCTCATAAATAGATCTCAAAATGAGAGCTCAGATGAAGATCTCATAAATAGATCTCAAAATGAGAGCTCAAATAGAGATCTCAAAAATAGTTCTCAAAATGAGTGCTCAGGTATTAAAAAGATTGAAGGCTCAGAAAGATCCCAAATTTTACAAATTCTGAGGGCATATCATGATGATAGACTATCTGGAGGTCATGGAGGATATTGGCGAACATATCACAAGATAAAAATGCGTTTTCATTGGCCAGGTATGAAACGAGATATTGTTGAATACATAAAAACTTGCCACCTTTGCCAAATGAAAAAACCCAAACCCAAATTTGACCCTCCATTCCTACCTAACCATTCAAAAATTCCCTTCCATACTATCCACATTGACTTTGGAGAGCTTGAGAAGAAGTCAGAACTTAACAAAAGTACCAAATCATTCTTGCTTTTAGTTGATGAGGCGACTCGTATCGTGGTTGGTAAGGCTATGAAAGAGTCTTCCCTCGCTGTAATTAATTTTCTGAATTCATTTAGCAGAATCGACCAAGTTAAAGTTATTGTCTCAGACAATGGAACGGCATTTACTTCAAAAGAGATGAAGAACTGGGCTCAACTGAGAAATATTTCTCTTAGAAATAGTGCACCATATCATCCGGCCGCAAATGGACTTGTTGAAAGAAAAATGCGTGACATTAAAACTTTTATTGGTATCTACAAAGACAGTGGAGTCGATTGGAAGACGCTATTGGCATCTGCTACTGCTTATTCTAACCGAAGTTATCATTCAGTAATTGGCTGCACACCTTGGTATAAACTGTATGGCAAAAGCCCATTGTTGCCTGCTGATGAAAATTTTGGATTAAGACTTGAAGATATCGCACCGGAGAAACCAAAGAATGAAGATGAAATGGTAAAGATTAGGCAGCATAACGACAAGAGAAAACAAGGAAAGTTTGAAATCTCAGAAGGAGATAAGATTCTCGTTAAATACGGAATTAATGGAAAGAAGCGAAATATGAAAGGACCTTTTTTGGTTACGAAAATTAAAAAGTATGGAGATAATCCTAAAACGCTGACCTATGTAGACAACAATGGAAAGGAACAAATTGCTCATATATCGAACATCTCACTGTATCACGAACGGAGTCGTGACTTGGATGAGTAGGGGGAGATGAACTGTTCCGAGCCTTATTTTTCTCGTTTAAATCCCAAATGGAGCAATCTAAGCTAAATCTCAACCTGAGGGCTCATTATGAGCGCTCAATCTGAAAGCTCAACCTGAGAGCTCAATATGAGAGCTCATTGAGAGCGCTCACATTGAGATCTCATTTTAAGTACTCATTTTAAGTAAAAGTAAATCTCAGCCAGAATACCTCACTAATCCATCCGAATAACCCTTAACGCTCCACAACGAGGACTCAAAGGTCTTTAAAAAGGAACTTTTGTTTTACTTTAAGCCAGTTGGCAATCCTTCTATTGTAGAAACAAGTTTTTCTTACTCTTTTCATTTGAATAAAATTTACTTTCGAAAACGAACTCTACAATCTACTTACAAGAATTTCCTACATAATAAGATATACTCCATCCTAAATGTTCCATCAAAGTATTGTGAAGCTGATCAAGTGGTATCTCTTGGTCAATGCGACGTAAATTATTTAAAGGAAAGTGATAGACGCTGCATGTTTGTCCAATTTCTGAGTCTTCCACGAGATCTTCAACATATCTCAAGTATCCACAGGAAGAATCTGATGGTCTATAAATTACTAGACTGAATGAGAAAAGAAAAACAGAATTTTTAGTTTTCAATTTAATCGAAATGGCCAGGTTCCGTTTTATACTTGATATCATCCAGGATTTTTGCTAATTTGTCCAGACATTCATATTCAGTGTTTGCTTCCACCTTTTGCATCTTTTTAAATGTACCGGCACTAACAGACATATTTTTAGAATCAAAAACATCTGAAAAAAAAGGTTTAACAATTGAATTAAGTTGTATGGATGTAAAATGTAAAATAATGATTACATTGCCAATTAGGTAAATCCAGGAATGTCACTTCTATTTCAAGTTGTTCGTCATTGAAATTATATTGAACGTTATCGATTCGAAGTGGACTAATTGTTGCTGAACGTAAAATAACATAATTGACTAACTCTCGTTTCAAGTCGTAAGCATGTTTTTCCAAGAGTCCGGTACAAGAGTCACCTGCAAATGAAAAGGAAAAATATCAGTTACAAATGCTTAAGAGAAATTAAATTGTTGTCTATCAACCGTTCCTAATACATACCTTGACATTCAAATTGGAAGGCAAGGGTTAATGTTTTATTACTAGACAAGTATTTACAGTCTTTTAATGTAAATTCATCATGAAGTTCACCTTCTAATCCAGCCTTTTCAAAGTTGATGTAATCTCTTGTAATTTCATCCGTCAAAGAATAAGTTTTTTTCTAGCAAAAAAACAAAATTATGTAAAGAAACATTAATCCCATCTGAATCATAATCATTTAAATGAATACTTACCGATGACTGCAATTTATAGATGTAAATTTTGGTACTGACAAGTGTATAGCCAGAAAATGTTTCACTGTCCTCCTAAAAGCCATTTCGATTGAATATTCCAGCACAAATTGAATAGGAAATAAAAAAATATGTTACACTAGAAAATCATATGTTTCTGTTATGTTATCTTAGAATAGCCTAATTTTCACTATTTTCACTGCATTTACATTTGTTTTAATTTATGTGCAATTATTAGACACCGAAGTCAGTCGATACTTGCATCGACTGAATCAAACTATGAGAAACTTACCGATGCAGCGAAATATTGAGTGATGACAGCTTTGTCGACCTTCTTCCCATTGATATTAACATTGAATCTCGTTGATTCCCATGCATGTACGGGATATCCAGATCGGTGTTCCTGGGAATATTTCAAAGAAGTATTTCAGAACAGTTATTGTTGACTTTACATTTAACCTTACAGTCCAAGTATTATCCAATACGATTGTTACAATAACATTCGTGGTAACAGTAATCTCTTTCAAATGTAAATGTACCAAGAAAACTATTTGATGGCAACGATTTATTATTAACAGCTATATCTAACATTCCTAATGCATAAACTGAAATTTTATCTGCATTAATGTTAAAAATTTCACGACGGAATTCAAAGCTTTCAAAATTTAAGTGTAAGACTAAAACATACTTGTTAGCTAAGCGTACAAACAGAAGCGTAAAAAAGATTGAGAGAGAGAATTGAAATGAACCTGGAGAGTGATTATTGTGAATGAAACGAAAAAATTTCCTTGTGACTAGCCAACTGAATTCAAAGCTGTTCATGTTTTTGATATTGGAATTGATAAATAAAATTAAAATTCCAATCAATATACAATTTTTTAGCTGATGAATCAGTGCATATTTCCTTTTTCATATTGAAGGTTTCATTAATATTATATTCGTATCAGCTGTGCTTTATCTTACTAAATTGACTAATTGATAGTAGATGACACCACTCTCCAATTGATTAGTAATGAAAAAAAGACGAAAAATAAATCCTTAAACTCCTCTAAAGCAAAATAGATTATCAATAAAATCCATCAATAAAGCTACAAATGTGTCATATTTTTGTTAGAAATAATTAAATTATTTTCTTACTAAATTGAGTTTTCCAAGATAAAGAAAGCGATCAAGAATATCATCAATGATTAAAAGACTACTTAAATAGAAGCCACCAAAAGAGTTGATTCCAGGTGAATTTTTTCCTGTAGATAACATGTAGCAGGATCCACCATCTTGAAAGAGGTAAGAAACTCCGAGGTTATAATCATAAATAGCTTCAGTTGTTATGCCAAGAAGAGTTGATTTTATTCGCAATAAGTTGTGCGCTTGTGATGCATGAATCTGTAAATTAAATTGCGATGAGTTTAAAATATGAAATACTTGACCAAACAAACTAACCTCACTGAATGTTCGAGAAGTAGTTGAACCTTTAATGTACTCGTACATAGTATAATGTACATAATCGGATTCCAATTTAGGGATTGAAGGCCCAGCTGTGGACAAGAAATGTGGGCATCCAATGCCAGGTAAAGGCTAATCAACAGTCAATGAAAATGTATTATATAAACGAGAAAATCTTGAAAATCTTAAAGTGTATTGTAACGGTATTGTAAAGGTGATTATAAGATAATGCAAAACAACGCAAAGCAAAGAAAAAAATTCAATTCTCATTGAGCGATATTCAATTCTTGAACGCTTTGAACTTGATCTCACAAAATATTTTATCGAAAAATTCTGATATTTTTACCTGATTGCATTTGATTGTGACGATTGTGAAATTTAAAATTATCTGAATAATAGAAACAAAGTGAAATACTTACATGAACTTCATTAGCAAGTTGATCATAATCGTTCTCATTTTGAAGGTAAATATCAAGAATAAGATTCTCGTCGTAAATCGGTGAACTTGAATAAGGATCATAACCACTGAATTCAATTCGACTTGGATGTTTAATTCCATAATCGTCATCAAAATGCTCTAGTTTTTGCAAATAAAAAGGATGAGAGTAGTTGAACTTGGTTCATCTTATCAATTAGTTTTCTACTCACTTTTGTAATAATAAGTGATATTCAATCTTCCATTTATTTCCGTTTTCGCCCCCTTCATCATGGTTCCTCTTATGCTTTTATCTGCAACTGATGTCTGTTGTCCAACAAATGAATTTGATTAAACATTCTCATAATGTTGTTGAAACACTTACCCAAACAATTAAGGAATGATCAAGTCGATATAAAATTGAAGGTCCCATTAAAAGTACTAGATTAGTTACTGGTCTTTTGATTCCAGGTAAAGTTTGATCCCAATTATTCTCGAAAGTAAATGGTATACAATTTGTACCTTTAGATAATGAATAAGGGCGAATTAATATTATGAAGATAATCCCATAGAATATAATGAGTGAATATAATCTTATTTTTTAAAAAAGTGCAATCAGAAACAATTCTTTCATGAATCGAAACATATCATCAAAAGTTACAATTTTTAATTTCAACAATTCTTATCGTTAAACTCTTACCATGGATAACCAAACGTTCCTTCTTGAAGCTAGAATCAGTATCATAATAGATGTTGAAGGAGTCCTTTTCACTTGAGATGACAATTTTCCCTTTGATGGGTGAACGCGAAGCTGATATCGATTCTTGAATGAAATATTTAGTGCCGGCATTCTGCGACGCAAAGTATTAAGAGTTAAAATAGTGAAAATTGTTTGGTTGTTCAACTTACGATATCAGTTAGAGTAGCGTTAATGTTAGCGCTCTTACTAGGTATACTTAACGGTAAAACCACCAAATCTGTAGCACTTCCTATGTTATTTAGAAGTTGAATTAGAAATAAATTGAGGTAACATTTTCAGTCAACTTATGAATATCGATCTCTTACCTGTTTCAATTGTTGAAATTAAAATGACTACAACTGTAAATACAAACAGCATTTTGTTTCTTTCATTTTGCAGTGAAGATGACATTTTGGACTTGATTAACAATAGCAATAAACTGTAACAAATTCAATTTACTTATGATATTGTTCGTTTCAAAATGATGCGAATTTAAATTGTAATCGTCTTTTAAATTGATTGAAATCATTTCAAAATAACGATAAACGCCTGAGATTATTTGTTAGATTACTTTTTTATCAAATTATATTTACACAACAAATATTATAATTACTCAGACTGTTTATTGTGAAGCTGCCCTCATATTTACTGATATTACAAACATTACAATTTGATCCAATTTACAAGTTTTTAATTTTTGTACTTGAATTGTGCAGGATGTAAAGTGATAAGATACGTTTTTTAAGGTTGTTACTAAAAATACACAATTGTCACATTTATGCAAATTGATGCAAATCAACAAAAACACGTGAAAGTTAATTTTTTTGGACTCTGTTAGTTTATGAGTAAATAAAAACTGAGTCCATTTGTGTGATTTAAAAATTTCTCTCATCAATAATTTTCGATGAAATCGAGTTCAAAGTTGAAACGCCGATCGTTTTTTCACAAATATGGAAGTAGAATTTTTCATGAAACTCATTTTTCTGATGTAACTTTTGATAATCAACCAGAAATGTACTCTCCTTGATAAATTGAACTTTTCTTTTTCTTTAAAACAGATTAGTACGATTTTTAGTTAGAGATATAACAGTAGTGTAGAAATGAAATTAGAGATGCAATACTTTATTGAAAGAGAAACATTTTTTTCAGATTAAGTAACTTATGTTACTAATAGTTTCGACAGAATTGATTTCGATGAAACTTATATTATCACATGAAGTCCCATGGGTCCCAGGTGACTTGCAACAACCACATACCAAGGAAATTCAGTCAACAAGCGTTCTGATCTTTCCAATACAAATTAATCAATCGTCTGACCACAGTCTACTGTAATTAAAATGTACGAAAAAGATTCAATCACTTTGAATCATAAAAAGGCCAAAAAAGGCAAAAGTTTGAAAATTAAACAAGGAGTTAGCGAAAAATTACATTGAAAATAATGTTAAATTTCAAAAAATGAAAAGTTTGTCAAAGATTACTTTCTTCGATTTTTTTCATGAGATAGAATGTGAATAGCAAAAGTAGCTACTTGGGGTATATTATGAGTATTCAATCAACTAAAATTCACAAAAATAAATTCTTTAAGTAATCTGGTTGCTGAATAATCAGCAAAACAATTTTTGTCTAAATTTTTATTTCCACTACCTTAGTCGAGTTGTATTAATTTGAATATTTGTATAATAACGTGTTTGAACTTCGCCTCTGAAACTTGAAAACATAGTTACAGGAATCCTGAGTTAGGATTATATCAAAAACCTCTAAAATTTCAAGCTTTTGAATTGTTTAATCTCTAGATTTTATGAGATTACGCTCTTGATAAATCATTCAATAAAATTTGAACAAGGTTATTCTTTATCATTCGATCAACTGTTAATGGAGCTGAAATCGACTTGCCTGACCCTTGACAACACTGCGTAGTTGAAAGTTTATGGCACTTACATCATGAATTAATGCATTGGTTGTACATTGATTGATTGCATGCGATATTCATTACTAAACTCAATTTATTTGTTTGAAACATCTACATCTTTATTTATCTCATTAGATTTTGCTTCGATTGAATGTGATCTTTTGTATTTAATCCACAAGAAAACTGAAATTGGAACTATTGGCACAGCCGCAAACAAATGAAAACAAAAACCCGGATCACTATGAAGTGTAGCATTGAAGACCTTCGTTAAGGACCAATCACTGAATAAAGCAATTGTTGCACTGATCACGGATATCAAACTAAAAGTGCCTCCAATCTCATCGCGCTCAACAATTTTACCCAAAAGAGAGTTTGTTACAGCATCGATTAGCGTATAAGTACAACCAGTTACAGTTGATATGAAAAAGGCTTCAGTTGTTAACCAAATTCCTCGTATTATCATCTCACCAGCATGAGAAACACAGGCAAGTATACCAAGTGAAATATCTGACATGCCAAGGAGCTGAATGCTTATTCGGGGTCCAATCAATTGCATGAGCGCTGGAATGGAATCATTAATTGCACTGTATTTTGAGTATTCATAATTTGACCATCCATATGCACGTTGAGCAAATTGATAAAGGTTGCTTCTTATGAATGAATGCTCTACACTTCGCGCAACTGCAATACCGACCAAAAGTAAAAGTACTCCACGCTTCCCCGACTCTCGAGGTTTAGTCAACGTTTGAAATAACTTGCAAATAGCCGAGAATGAAAATACTTTTGAAACAAACTCTTTAACTGGACTCTTCTTTTCCTCTTCAGACTTGTGTTTCTTGAAAGGTAGTCCATGATTAACATGATTCGGATCCTTAGCTGCTTGTTTCTCATTCAATTTGTAAACTGAAGGAGCAGTTATAATGAATATAATCACAGCAGATATTTTGAATATCAATGAGACAATAAAGACTCCGAGATAGTTGGAGACTTGGTTCTTAAACCAAGGTTTTTGTGCGAAAATGGCTCCACCAGTATATTGACCAGCTATAGCACCTAATTGTGTTGCAAATAAGTCAGAGTGAAAAAAGCATTAAAATGGTGAATTGACGGAAGATCAAAACTTATCAAGTCTATCAATGCTTAAACTAAATGCATCATTTTTATGAAAAAATGAACAATTCTGATGGATTTTATGCATCGGCCCATTTGATCTTGACTTGCATCTTTACCAGGTAAATTGACTTTATTGACTTACCAATAAAAGCAGCAACATCACACATTGAAAACTTGAGGATCCGTTTATCAGGTGGAGTTGTTAAAACGATATAAGTTGAAAGAGCCATAAAGCAACCTTTAATAGTTCCAAAAATCCATGGAATCAAGTCAACAATCAAAACTGCTTTTGGATCTAAAGGTTCAAATCAATATATTAAGAATAACCAAGTTTACAAATGATTTATTTACCCAATGAAAAAAAGATGGCATTTCCAGTGAGAAACATGACTTGCAGTATTGAACTTATGGCAGGCATTACAATGATTAACTTTAAATGGTTTGGATAATTGTTGATCCATGGTCCAACGAAAAGAGTTGTCACTATGGCTGGTAAACCGCTCAGTATTGATCGATAACTAGAAATGGTTGAAGCTTCTCTAAGAACTGCGATCTTGGCATCTGAATGTTCATCAGCACAATCGGCCAATCTAAAGCCATATTGGTTGAGACAAATTTTGTCTTCAATCATTTGAGTTACAACAGTTGATTGGATTGTTAAACCAAAGACGAAAACTAAGTTAAAAAACTCCAAATGAGAATCTTTAGCAATTGCAAACAACTCTTTCATTTTACCCATTTTCAATATTTCACTTGAAACTACAATAAAAACTCGAAGTTTTAGGTAATTTTGACAGTAACTTAACCGAATGGATAATATTCACTCTTTAATAATTGACAATAAATCTTTATGGATAAACCCTAATTGCCATCTTTTGATCAGATTCAAATCAAATCAAGAAGATTATTGATAAATAAATCTTTGTATGTTCACTAATACTTTTGATTTCATTTTGTTTGTACAACTTTATGCCACAACTAACCCATCTTCACTATCACTCAAATCTTACCAATAGCAAAGCTAAAGAATCAATAATTCTCGTAATTAATTTCTCAGGAGTGATTCCGCTCATCATGCAGATCGCTAATAAGTACAATAACTTTCAACTCGGCTGCGAAACTAAATTTCAAGATAAATTGGCTCTAAATAATCCACAATTACTTGTAAAGGATAAAGAGAGGTTGAAAAACAAGGTTAAAATGAATAATCAGTCAGATGCGTGTTGAGCTAAAATTGTTAATCCGTTCTATTAATATGTAACTGTTTAATGCTTTTAATACTCAATTACCCAATGGACCCAGACAGAAGCGCCAGAAACACGAGTGAACAAGGAAAAGGTCAGATTTTTCTTTTAATAAAATTTACGCTCGTTTCACACAATGTACATAGGCACTCGGTTATTGAAAACTTACAAGAAACAAACGCTCGCTAAATACCTTGATTAATGAAAATGGGTGTGTATCATGGAAAACTGTGCTTAAGGTTGAGCGTTCGGTGACAATCGCGACCTAAAGTCAAACGTTTTTTCAATGGACATCCACAAACTTGCTAGAAGCTGAACTATATTAGAATGATATTTCTTAATTGCTCATATTGAATGAGAAACGTAATTTGCTTCATTTTTCTTTTGAATCATATATTATAGCCGTTACTTCGCTTAACTTTGAACGATCAACATTGAATGAGATCAGAAGATAAGACAGTAAAGTAAAAATGAAGATTGAGATATGCAATTATTTATTCAAAAAAACAACTTTTTCCATTTTTCAAGTTTAGTAACTTATGTTACTCATAATTTCGCGAGAACTGATTTCGATGAGACTAATATTATCGGCTCCAGTCCCATGTGTCTTTCCAGCAACCTTTTGGAGCCAATTCTCGCATCTTTTTAATGTATAAACTAGCATCAGTGAATAGATCTGGCTTTCCAGCAGAGAAACAACGAGAAGTAACTCCAGCAAGGTAGTATCTTGCATTTGCTTCACCTCGCATGTATGGTCCTTCAGGGCATGTATCAACTTTAGTAGGATTCATAATACATAAATGAGTTTTGGTAGCAGGAACAGGACACTTGGAATCTAGATGGAATCGGATTAATCAACAATTGTTAAAAATGAAGCAACAGAAATTGTATTTACAATCAGCTCACCTTGATTGGTGTAAAGGTAGTCTTCCTTATTTTTACCAGATGAAGGACTTATCATGTGGACTGCAGGCATAGGCATTTTATCTGAGTCTCGTAAACAAATTGGTTTGAATTGCGAGTCAACTGGTGAATCCAAAGTCAATACAGCAAAATCATAGGCGCCAGTCTTGGTGTTATATCGCTCATCAATCCAAAAGGAGGAGACTGATTTTGTTGAGTTATCGTTCAAACGAGCTCTGAGCGATGCTGCATTTGAGCCAGAAAGGCAATGAGCAGCAATAGCAGCATGTTGATCATCAATCAATGCAGCACCACAAGGTTTTAAATTTTTATTTCTGAATTAAAGGGAAAAAATCACGGTAAAATTAAGGTAAAAAAGTAGAAATGAGTAAAATATTGTCATACTTACTCAACAACCACATACCAAGGGAATCGAGTCAACTTGCCCTCCGATTCTTCAGGAGGTGCGTAACCAATAGGCTGACCACAGTCTAAACAAAACCATGAGTTAATTTTCAATGTTATCAGTAGCTTAATTGTTTCACTGACTTACCACATGCAAAGGACTGATTGATTAAAAGGGCGAAGATGGAAGCAAACAAAGTTAAACTCATTGTAACAGTTGAGGGATTGGGATTTTTATTGAGACTTGCAGTCGAATTGTTGATGATACTTTAGCTTTTGTTAGAATGATTAAGATTCGTTGGTAGTTGATTCTTTTATACTAAAATCAATCGGAAACAGATGATTCTTAATTAGTGTCTATGTGGTTGGGACGCAAAAAAAACAATGTCAGGGAATTCCCTTCATTCTTTAATTTTAATTAAGATTGACATATTTTGATGAAAGTTTCAGTATAAAGGGTTTTTCTAACTGACTTCGTTGATTGGAAGTTTGCAAAATGCATGAATCAAATGCTATCAAAAGAAATGTAGCAAATCAAATTCAGATGAATGTTTTCACCATGCAACTGTCAATCTCATCATTACCAGCATCATCGTCATCTTCAAATTGAACAAGACAATGAATTTTTTAAAAAAAAGATTTTCATTTAGTTTTGTGTTGGACTACAAGTTTAATGAAGCTTTCGATAGTTGGCAGTTGCTTAAATGATTATCAGGTAATAATGTGCTCGCACGCTAAAACAATTTAAGGTGGTTCAAATATAAGTATTTTATCCGTATTTTGTAAAAATATTCAATCAGTAATTGTGACTTATTTGAGCCAGTTTTGACCAAAAAGGTATAAAGATGCAAGATTGACCTTTGCAACTGAAATGGTTTATAATAGTGAATAAAGAATGAAGGAAATTCCCTTAAATTGTCTTTACACAGAAAATACATGGGCACTAATTAAGAATAATCTGTTTGACGCGAATCTTATCCAATATCGATCGTTCAAAGTTGAGCAACCTAAAGTTATAATATGCAATCCAAGCGTTCTGAAGAAGATCGCTCTCGCCATTCAATAGAAGCAATTAAGAAATATCATTCTAATAAAGTTTAGCTTCTATCGAGTTTAACTTTAAACAGAATGCGAAACTTTCCTGAACTTTTGATGTCTCCTTTCAAAAAATTAAGTTTATTGTCAAATTGACAAAGGCCACTTTTTCGGGGTACATATCGTTTGCAGTAATGATAACTTCATTGTTACGGTAGCCTTCAAGTTCAATCTGTTTGTTAGTTTTGTTCAACTTTATTTTTTCAGAGAAAGTTTGGAATCAACTAGAGTTAGTTAATTGATCTTGTTTAAAGTTATCCGATTTACTTATGATTGTCATATTGCAAAGCCTTCAAATGGCTTAACTGTTTAGGAACAATTACTGGAAGTGAATCAATAATGATTTGATTGACAACTTCAGTTGTAAAAAGCTATGAGTGATATCTTCGGTGCAAAATTCACGTCCTCGCTGATTCGCTCATTAACATGACAGACTTTAACAATGAACCTACCTTCGCGCAACTCTTTACTTTTTACTCAAAAGACAAATTTTACTTAAAATCCATCAATCTAGGCAACAAAAAAGATTCTTCTTCACTCAATATTATGGAATACGGATTCTCCATTTTTACCCAGCCGCTTTTTTCATAAATTTATCAGATATTTGAATTCTATTAAGAGATTCTCTATTTTTTCGGGATGTAGCTGAGTTATGACTTTGATGCTGATTAATAAGGATTTGATTGAAAAATTCAGTTGTATTAGAATCTCTTTCTTTTATTTTCACTTTTTTAAATCAATTAGAAGTTTCAGTTTTTCAAATTACCCATCAGACATTGCAAACCGCTTTCAAACTCTTTGACCGTCAATTCTACCGGTACTAAGTTGGACTGATTGAATTATCAATTAGACAATTCAACATGGTATTTCATTTGTTTAATCATTTCCATCTAGCTAGCATTGAAACTAGAAACTGGACCTTTTTCATTCAAAGGTACATTGAATTTACTAGAACTGAGATAAAGTGTTGAAAGAGGTTAGAGGACAAATGCAGATTTCGTATTCAATAATAAAGAGTGAAGGGGAAACTTTTGTGTTACCCAGGTTGATGGATTTAATGTAAAATTTGTCTTTTGAGTAAAAAGTAAAGACTTAGGCGAAAAATTTACGAAACTAAATGCAAACCTTTTTCGCAAAAATTCATTGTTTTGTTTACATTTGAATATGATTGATATGAATGCGATGCAATTTGCTGAGTGATCCGAAAAGGTCAATACGAAAAACAAGTTGTTATGAAAATTTGTCAATCAAAATTGAAATTAAGAATGAAGGGAATTCCCTTACATTGTTTTACCATAGCAAACACATGGACACGTATTAAGAATCATCTGTTTCCGATTGATTTTAGCTATAAAAGAATCATATATCTTTGGTATACTTTTAATAATTTTAGTACTAATTGAAACATTACCCAGCATAAAGAGGAATAATATGCGGCATATTCTGAATATGTTTTTACATGAAATCTTGCCGGTTGAAAAACAAGGTTAAAATGAATAATCAGTCAGACGTGTGTTGAGCTAAAATTGTTAATCCGTTCTTTTATATGTAACTGTTTAGTGCTTTTAATATTTACTTATCCAATCGACCCAGACAGAAGCGTCAGCAACACGAGTGCACAAGGAAAAGGTCAGTTCTTGCGAAGAGCTTTCTTTGCCTTTAGTCAAAATGCTCGTTTTACACAATGTACACAGAAACTTGTATATTGAAGCCTTATAAAAAAGATAAAATAGAAACAAAACACTCGCTAAATACAAGTTAAAAGCTTCACGCAATTAAAATTTGGACAAAAGTCTAGTCATTCTGGACTGGTGAAAAATGTACGATGGAAACGGTTGATGAATGGTCAAAAAATGGAGTCTTTAATGTTTAATGGAAATTGGAAATAATATTTATCGGCTAGGCAATCAATTTTGCTAAAAAACTTATTTCATACACATTCATTTTCCCTCATTTTTCTTTAGGACCTTTTAGTTTGCAGTTGAAACTGGCTCAAGTTTTCTGGTTTCTTGGTTGAAATTACATACAGCAGATGGCGATTGTTTGCTTGGATACAAATAAAGCCTCCGCGCAAATTGGTCTCTTATCGACTCGATAATATCGAGTGTAGGGAGATCGGTATCCTGAATTCCCGTAATTGGGTGATAACACAATGAGTACGCTTTGTATTTTACAAAGATTAATGGTTTAATCTTGGGTATTTTACAAGCGTTGATTTAGTCTGAATTGGAGTTGCTATTTAATACAAATATTTCACTATTGTAAGTCAGTCAATAGTCGAAGATAATTTACTGTGTGTAATACAATTTGATGGTGAATGCAGTGTGTTTCTTCGTAAGTACAGTCACCATTGAGATAATGCACCGCACTGGGAATAGCTTATTTTCACTATTCTTCGGGCGGCGTAATCCATGTTTAACTTTCTTTTATGATCTTCGCGTGTTTTACCTCTTCGCTTCTTCGTCTGAAACTTGAAAACTTAGAGTCAAGATCATATGCCTAACTTCATATAATAATAACATCAAATGAGTGTGCTAGGATTATCTGACATGCTTTTTGCTTCTCTGAACAGTTTGATCGGTCTATTAACCGAAATCAGACCAACATTGTGTAGTTGGAAGTTTATGGCACTTAAATCATGAATTGATGCATTGATTGATTGCATGTGATATTCACTACCAAACTAATTTTATTTGTTTGGACTATTTACATCTTTATTTGTCTCATTTGATTTTGCTTCGATTAGATGTGATCTTTTGTAATTAATCCACAAGAAAACAGAAATTGGAATTATCGTTATACCAGCAAACAATTGAAAACAAAAACCAGGATCACTATGAAGTGTTGCATTAAAGATCTGCGTTAATGACCAATCACTAAATAAAGCAATTGCTGAACTAATCACAGATATCAAACTAAAAGTGCCTCCAATCTCATCGCGCTCAACAATTTTGCCCAAAAGAGAGTTTGTTACAGCATCGATCAGAGTATAAGTACAACCAGTGACAGTTGATATGAAAAAGGCTACAGTTGTTAACCAAATTCCTCGTATTATCATCTCACCAGCATGAGAAACACAGGCAAGTATACCAAGTGAAATATCTGACATGCCAAGGAGCTGAATAAATATTCGAGGTCCAATAAGCTGCATGAGCGCTGGAATGGAATCATTAATTGCACTGTATTTTGAGTATTCATAATTTGACCATCCATATGCACGTTGAGCAAATAGATAAAAGTTGCTTCTTATAAATGGATACTCTACACTCCGAACAACTGCAATACCGACCAAAAATAAAAGTACTCCACGCTTCCCTGATTCTCGAGGTTTAGTCAACGTTTGAAATAATTTGCAAATAGCCGAGAAGGAAAATACTTTTGAAACAAACTCTTTAACGGGACTCTGCTTTTCCTCTTCAGACTTATGTCTCCTGAAAGGTAGTCCATGATTAACATGATTTGGATCCTTAGCTGCTTGTTTCTCATTCAATTTGTAAACCGAAGGAGCAGTTATTATATAATGAATATAATCACAGCAGATATTTTGAATATCAATGAGACAATAAAGACTCCGAGATAGTTAGAGACTTGATTCTTAAACCAAGGTTTTTGTGCGAAAATGGCTCCACCAGTATATTGACCAGCAATACCACCTAATTGTGTTACAAATAAGTAAGATTGAAAAAAATATAAAACAATGAACTGAAGGACGATCAATGCTTAAACTAAATAAATGATCACTTTTATGAGAAAACGAGTAATTCTGGTGAATTTTATTTACTAGCTTATTTGAATATGACTTTCATCTTTACCAGGGAAATTGACTGTATTGACTTACCAATGTAAGAAGCAACATCACACATTGAAAACTTGAGGATCTGTTTATCAGGTTGAGTTGTTAAAACAATGTAAGTTTGAAGAGCCATAAAGCAACCTTTAATAGTACCAAAAATCCATGGAATCAAGTCAACAATTAAAACTGTTTTTGGATCTAAAGGTTCAATTCAATATATCAATAATAAAAAAGTTTATAAATGATTTATTTACCCAATGAAAAAAAGATGGCATTTCCAGTGAGAAACATGACTTGCAGTATTGAACTTATGGCAGGCATTACAATGATTAACTTTAAATGGTTTGGATAATTGTTGATCCATGGTCCAACGAAAAGAGTTGTCACTATGGCTGGTAAACCGCTCAGTATTGATCGATAACTAGAAATGGTTGAAGCTTCTCTAAGAACTGCGATCTTGGCATCTGAATGTTCATCAGCACAATCGGCCAATCTAAAGCCATATTGGTTGAGACAAATTTTGTCTTCAATCATTTGAGTTACAACAGTTGATTGGATTGTTAAACCAAAGACGAAAACTAAGTTAAAAAACTCCAAATGAGAATCTTTAGCAATTGCAATCAACTCTTTCATTTTACCCATTTTCAATATTTCACTTGAAACTACAATAAAAACTCGAAGTTTTAGGTAATTTTGATAGGTACTTAACCAAGTGGTTACGGTTACATACATGGTCAGTCAATATTCGAAGATAATTTACTATGTGTAATACAATTTGATTATGTCATCCTATTTGCATCTTGAAAGACTGAAAGGTTTTTTATCCTAAAAGGGAAATTCAACTTTACCATTTCAGTTAATTTGCATAAAGATTGTATCATCATCATCAACATTATCTTCTTCATCATCATTATCATTATAAGGTAAAGGAAATATCTCCCGCTAAGTTGGAGAGAATAAAAAATTCTCATGAATTGCAAGTAAATCTTGACAAATCTCGCTGTAAAGTTTTGATCTGCACTTACAATACATTGTAACTATTTTTTGTTTTATCTCATAAATCGCATCGTTTGATGATTTGACTTTGATGGAAAAGGGTTTAAAGTTTGATTAGAATGAATTTTCTGACGAGAAAGGATATCAGACAATATTCTCATTAAATTAGCAATGATTTTGCCAGGAATACATTTATCGTTTCATGGGAACATGAAATCCAGCTTAACTCATGACTAGATTTAATTATCATTGATGAAGACTGAACAAATGAGAAAGATTATTGATGAATTGGATATAAAATATACCCACAAAATAGCCTTTAAGCTATCAATTGGGAGCATCATTTAATGAAATAAACTTTTCATCAGACAATAAACCAACTTTTGCAATTGGATAAATGAAAGGAGTATTGGCTATAGTATGACTGGTCTACAATCAACCCAATTTGGATTTGATCAACTCCATGAAGTAATTGATGAAAAGGGAAACCTTGACCTTGAAGGGTTTTCAGGATATTGACTTACAAAATTGGAGAGTCAGGGAAAAAGAGGTCATGATGATGAAAAAAAATTGTGTTGAAAATAACATTGATTAAAGATTCTTTGGTTGATCAGCGAAGGCAGCAAACTGCATTGGGAATCGATAATGATAAATATATTATAAGAAAAGCTGATAAGAATTAAAGCCTATTGTCTCCATTTGATGAAATGATTTAATTTAATCTCTCTCCGAGTTCCAACACAAAGCAAAGAGAGCTACCAATCAACTTTTAAGATAATACTGGATGTTGAAGGATTTGTACATTTTGACCATAGCTGGATACAAATGAACCAAAATTTCCAGGAAAAGGTGCAATCTCAATAGGCATCCATTTGAATTATTGCCTGAATTGGAGAAAGACAAACAGTGATTAACCTTTAGCTATTAAAAATATTAGACTCAAACCATGATGCACATATTCAGATTGACGCATAAAAGGATAAATTCAACAGTTGAATGGAGTAAAAACTTACCAGGAATTAATGTCAATCAGGTACTTAGAACTGTCAACAGTTACGGTAGAAAAGCAAAACAATTAATATTTAATTAGAAACATTGCTGATTAATAATTGAAAACAAAGTGAAACTTGGACATCGAATAATTTAATCAGATGATTACAAGTTAAGGGGCTGTCAAGATATTACAATAAGTTATGCTTCTTTTGTTGAATTTTTAAAAAAGCATAATATCTCGGTTAAAGAAATGGCTTAGCTGGTGCAACATTAAGGAGGATGAAAGTTATGATGATAATGATTTTTTCATCATGATCATTATTTTTATTTAAAGACAGGATTGAAAATGGTTATAAGTGTCCAACAATAAATCTCAAAGTTACGCATCTCATCCATCTTGTCTACACAATTTCATCTTATGTTAGTAATCTTCTTCTTCCTCTTAACCAAAAAATCTACATTTATAAAATCTCTCTCCTGTCTCTGTAAGTTACCTCATCATTGAAGGGCGAGTTATCCCAAAATTGGCAACCTCTCAAGCAACTCTATCTTCCTCTCTGGTCATCATCACCATCATCATCTCTATTTTTTGTGCATTATACATTATGAATCAGTTTACTTTCACCCAATACACATTGGATGTACATTTTACCGCCCAATCTTTATACTCCAGCAAGCCATCAAGAAGAAGCTGTTGCTTGAAAAACCATCATCTTTCCTAACAAAGGACAGTCAACCAACGCGATAGAAGGAAACTTTAAAGCTAATTAATGTTACCAAAGATTCACTCTTCTGTCCTGATGATATGAACAGATTAATTTTCAAGTATCATTTTCACCCTGCTACATAAAGGCCAAGGCTTATTTTATTTAATAAAATGTAAACATTGGCCCGGACAAGAGACTGGATACATTAAAAGGGATTGATGATTGGATAAAGTAACCTTTTACATGAAAAGCTATTTATTTACTAATGATGATACTATGGTCCAGTCTTATGATTAAATTGATGCCTCCAAAGATGTAGCTATAATTGTTTGATACGTCGGCGTTTAGTTGGTTTCCTCGATAAACAAATGGACCAATTTGTAAACATTAATACGTTTTAAATCAACAAGAAAACAAACTCTGGTTTAATATTTATAATCTTGTCGGATTTTCGAGGTTCTCCTTCACCAATCAAATTGTAGTCCTTTCATCTTATCATGTTAACTTCTCTAAACATCACTCTATTTTAATGGTCAACTCCTGTGGTTGAGCCTCCACAACCTTTTCCCTGTGCTGGATGAGGAAAATTATTGAATCAATGGGCAAACTTGATTATTTTATTGGTCAATATTAACCAGTTCAAATTGGCTTTGTCAATGGTAAGTCAATTGAGATACACATTTGAAAAGCCAATTTTCACTTAATCAATTTTTCTCGGCTCAAAAAAAGTGTGATCAAGTTAATTCAAGTATCAGTTACTCTCTACAATTACATTTATTACCATATTGATCCTTGAAAGTTGCTGCTCATTTCAACCATTGTTATTGTAATTATAAACTTGTGTTCATTATGATTATGATAATAAGTGTATCTGTCTATTGTTATTCTGTGCTCATATGGATTACATCTTGAGACGGAAATATTGTTTTTTTTTCTTTCTTTCTTCAAGAAAATTCATTTTCATCTGATGACTGAGAATCACTTGTTATTATTGCAAGAGCAAAACAAAACTAAAAAGTGAAATTGTTAAGAAAATAATGTTTTTTGATGCTCACTAAGTTAGCAGAAATAAAAAAATGTTGACTCAGGCAGTCTTTGAAGCATAAAAATTCGTTGAAAAAAAATCATGATATAAACTCCTAGCCATAGGAACCCAAAAATGTTGATAATGAGATGAACAAGGAGAAAGAACATAAATAGACAGGGAAAAAGGAAGGAAAATAAAGGACAAAAATAGAAAGATAAGAGATAAAGCTTTCCATCTTTACTCCCATCCTAATCTTCATCTTGAACTGTAAATTTTAATGGAAACCAATGTTAAACCCAAAATCAAAAGCCAACCATTGTTAATGGTTTTCAACTGTTCATCTCAAACTTTCACCACAAACGACCATTTTTCAATTTTACCGTTTTCAGTTTTTTTGGTACAAATTAAAATCAATGGACATTGAATGTTTTCATGTTTTCAGTGTTGTCCATTCATTGGTATTACCCATGTTGATGGCTTATCTAACCTTTCTTACAGCACTAATGGTCTTGATGCTGGTTAACAATAGTTATTTATATTAATTACCTGGATAAAGTAACCATTTTTCAGTGTCAAGTAAATTGATTGATCATTGATCAAGTTGACAATAATCAATCAAAAAGCAAGATGCGAGTTGCCATTGAAACTATCCTAATAATGTTAACACATCCATCATTGTTTTAATCCAGTAAGCACCAAATTCATGATCACGATCATTTCCGATAAACATAACTAAATATGTTGGACATGAATCCCTACAATTTAAAATCAAATTGAACTCAACTCAATAAATCTTAAAACAGTAGGTTAGGCCTGAGTTTTGTTGAGTTTAAAGATTAACCTGACAATTTGAGATTAACATCAATACAGCATTATGGGAAAAGTTAGTCTAAATTATAGTTTCATTGTTGAATGATATCAGGTTTGCCGGAAAGTTTTTACTGTCTGGAGCGTTTTCATTTCTAACAATTAATTAATTTAGTGAATTTTATTCAATTGTTTTGATTTTCTCTAAAATTCTAAATCAATATTTTTTCTTTAATTTGCACCTAATTTTATTATCAAAATCATTGATTAACATACCTAAATTTTGATTCAATTAAATGGTCATTTTTTCAAATTTTTGATCTTCAATTTGAATTGTTGATTGCATATGATCAACAATTCAGAATTAAGAAAAATCAACATTGATCGGAAGCTTGAATTCCATTAAAAACTTGATAAAAATTTGAAAATTCTAAGCATTACCATTATTTAATTATTCCATGATAATTAAAATTTCATTTAACATTAAATCTCCATAGAAAGGAAATTTTTAGCTTTTTCGGGATTTTAATGAAAAATCCTATGGAAAAATCTAATAAAAAAATTGTCAAAAAAGACAATTTAGTCAGTTATATGACAGAATAATTAAATAATGGTAATGATTAGAATTTTCAAATTTTTATCAAGTTTTTAATTCAATTTAAGAATTCGATCAGTGTTAATTTTTCTTAATTCTGAATTGTTGATTATATGCAATCGACAATTCAAATTGAAGATCAAAAATTTGAAAAAATGACCATTTAATTGAGTCAAAATTTAGATATGTTAATCAATGTTTTTGATAATAAAATTAGGTACAAATCAAAGCAAAAGTATTGATTAAAAATTTTAGAAAAAATCAAAACAATTGAATGAATTTTACTAAATTAATTAATTGTTTGAAATGGAAACGCGCCAAGAGCGTAAAAACTTTCCGGGAAACCTAATACAATCAATTTCAGATAATTAAAGATGGTCAATGTGAGCTTTTAATTGCACTTGAACCTGTTGAGCAGCAACCGTTAAAACCATTAAAATAACTCAACATTTAAACAATTACCGCTGAACAGTTTTTTTAATTATTTATACATCAATATATACAATCAACTGTCTAATTGTAATCATAATCTCAAGGTTAATTGTAAAGTTTGTCTCAAGCAAATAATGTTGCTTGTAGTGAAGGTTCATTAATAATTGGAAAGATCAAGATTAGCTTTTTGATCATCAATGAATTTTCATCTTTTTTTCAATTAACTTTTAAGCCTAACTTGTGATTAAATTTAAAACAATTGATTCCAATCACTCTGTCAATCAATTTACAGATTGGTTTTGATAAATGTAAATGTTCATTATTCATTATACTATTTGTTACATAATTAATAGTATAATGGTTACCTTCAAATGATCAAAAATATTAAACGTAAAATCTAATTATTCATTTATAAGACGATTTCAAATCTTTGCTAAGCTTCTCATTGATTACACAGTTTCATTGTAACTATTTATATTTTTGTTGAAAATATAAAAAGTCTGACAACATAATTCTGAAAGAAATCATGATAACTCTTGATAAGTTGAGCTGCAAAATGAATGAAACATCATGAATAATGTTAACATTGAAATGTTTGTTGTAATTGTTTGTGATCAAAATGCTCCTTTAAACAGCAATGTAAGACTTCTTAAAAATGGGATGTAAACAGCAATCGCTCATTTCCAGTAAGCGCGTTAAACTGCCATCAATTCAAACCCAAATTGGTATCGTTAATAGCAGCAACAATTGACTTCCCAGAAAATGTTAACAATTTATAAATAATAAAAGAAGAAGGAAAAAGAAAGTTAGATTATCAATCAAAAGGAGATGCTTTAAGATGGAGAAGGTTGAAATTACATAGTTTCTTTACCTGTATTTCATTTTTGCCTACCTCAAACTTTAGGTGATTAACATCTTTGCTCACTGGGGTTGACTTTGTCTACATTTTGGTACAATTTAAAGGCCCGTTAACCTTTTACCTTAGTCATTTCTGAATCCTAAGGCATTAAATTAGCACCAAAAAGGTAGACCATAAGAATGAAGAAAGCTACAACAAGGTAACCAAATTATGTTAAACAATTTTTACTTTCTTCTCACATTTCGTTTTCTACCATTTTTGTTTTTCTTGTCCTTTTCTTCATCTCTTTATCTCATGCTGTGAACGTTTTCCAAAGGAGATTTAAGTTACTCTATCCATGGGCTTGGCTTGGTTCATTTTGATCATCATTATCATCATCATCGTTTTTTACCATCATCATATTTCTCCGTCCATTTTTTGGGCTTTCTCTTTTTTTGGCTCCTTCTCCTTCAATTACTTAACTGTTAAGGTCAATCTTATGTTAATTGAGTGGCCTCGGGCTTAGTCTACTTGCTAAATTGAGTTCCAATGTTTCCGGAATCCAAATTGAATTTCCGTTTGTCTCGCATTTAATCAGATAATCCTGCCAATAAATTATGATATGTTGGTAATCTAAAAACAAAATGAAAACAAAAATTGTTAGAAAGTGCACAGCAAGGTTATTCATTTTTCATAGTCTAACATGCAATTTGTAAGTAATACAATTTATCTTTTCTAAGATTATAGTCATTTGATTGTGTCGGTGATGAATATGTTGTTGCATTTTAGCATTGGTTTTAATTGATTTGATGAGCTGAATGCACATCTTTTGAATAAGATGCCAACTAAAAGAAAAAAATCGATTGGTTAGTTTTGTTGTTTTGTTAACTTACTTTTTATGTTTTCTTTGCTTTTGTGTGTTAACCTGGTTATTAAATAGTCTATTTACCATGAAAAGTAAAAGCTGCAGGTAATTTATGGCGAAGACGAAGACGAAATGTAAGAGAAACTACCTATAAGATGCAAAGAAAAGATGAGATGAGGGAGAAAAAAGAAGATAGAGTTTAACCTTAATGTTTGGTCCATTTTATAAACAATTTTCATCTTCCATTGATGTATAATGATAACTGATTTTACTAGTGTTTTTAACGCTGACTTGAATAAATAATGGTAATTTGGCCAATCAGTTAAATATTAAACATCACCATCAACACTGCAACAGCATCATAATCTTGGATGAGAAACACTATTATTGGTGGAAATTTTCAACATCAATGGTTGACTTGAATTTAGGGCTATTTTAGGTTAAATAAAATTAGATCAAACGTCAATTTGATCACAATTTGTCACATCAAGTCACTAAAAATTTAGAAAAAATGTGTATCCTGAGGAAAACTGGTAAAAAGGAAATATTTCTTCAACGGGAAATGGATGAAATGTAAAGATAGAGGTAATATAACAGAGAGGATGATGATTGAAGATGAAGATTGGTTAACCATTGACGATACTACAATGAAGATAATATTACATTGATATTTCAATGAAAAAAAACAGAAATTAATTAATTTTGTAAACTTCCTTTCAACTTACACTTTTGTTTTTACTCTTACCATGGCTTTTTCACCAGCTTTGGTTACCAAACAAAATATCTTGATACATTGTACTGTTGAAACTGATCAGTGAAAATTGTGGACCTTAATGGTGTTGATTTGAAGAATCAAATTCACTTTTTAAATTGTAATTATGAGTGAAGTAAACAGAAATCGTTTAAAAGAGTTGGCTAAACGTCCATACAACAATTTATGTGCTGATTGTAATCATCCAAGTGCGTATTAAAGTCCATCTGCTTTGACCCGGATCAGATATCTAATGGATTAAGTAATACTTGTACTCTTTGATATTATCTAACCCTTTATATCTTTTGGTTCTTTGTTTTGGTTTTTTACATTTCTCTTGATAACTAGATCCTGATTGGGCTTCTGTTACAATTGGTGTTTTTTTGTGCTCAGAATGTGCTCGTATTCATCGTGGATTAGGATCACACATTTCGTTTGTAAAATCATTTGATTATGACAATTGGGACCAAGAATTGTTAACCTTTATGGAACAGTATGGCAATGAGTTAGCCAAGGAACACTATGAGAAACATGTACCTCCCTATTACCGTCGACCTAACCGTGATGATCCAAAGTAATTAATAATCTTTAACTGTTCATTCATCGACGAATAACACCTTTTTCATTCATTTTCAGTGTACTCCGGGAACAGTGGATTCGCGCTAAATATGAACGTAAAGAGTTTATGCATCAGGTTGACACTGTTTACAGTCGTGGTTATATGGAGGGATTTTTGATGAAGAAAGGTAAAAAGGACAAGAAACTTGAGAGAAGAAAATTTGTATTATCTGAAGTTGATCAGACAATCAAATATTATGTAAAAAGTGTAAGTAAAATTACTCCATTTTCATAAATAATTGAAACTATTAGCAAAAACAATCAACTGTCAAACGGGTCGGTAATTCAAAGCAAGAAAACTCAATTTCTTACCTTTGTAATCATTTCAATAGAATAACCTATTGGTGGCTTTGATTGATTAGCTTTACATTTTACACTGAACTTATTAGTTTTTTTTCTGTTTGTTTGTTTGTTGTTACTTTTAACAGAGCAGCAAAACACCTAAAGCAGTGATTAACATTCCTGATTTAAATGCAACCTTCTGTGATCCGGCAAAGATTAAAACAATCAAAAGTCCAAATGCTCTCCAATTAACTTATCTTAAAGATGGTTACACAAGAAGTATTTACGTATACGCTGATGACGGAAAGGTAAGTAAAATAGTCAACTTTATGTCTATTCATTCAAATCAATTCATTTCATTTGGAGTCTATTTGATTTTACTGATTAGGAAATTATTGACTGGTACATGGCAATTAGAGCTGCTAAATATCAACATCTTCAAATAGCTTATCCAAGTTGCCCGCCAATTGAATTATTACCTCATTTGACTCGAGACTTTCTCAAAGAAGGTTATCTTTGGAAGACTGGTCCAAAAATCGGAGACTCTTACAAGAAACGCTGGTTTACACTAGATTATCGTAAATTAATGTATTTAGAAGATCCATTGGTAAGTTAATTGATAAAAAACGCTTTTGTTCGGTTTACTATTTATTCAAACTGTATTTATTTAGGATCCCTTTCCTAAAGGTGAAATATATTTAGGTGAAAAAGGAAAACAATTTGCAATATCATCAGGCATTCCAGCTCCATTGAAGCAACACATGTATGGATTTATAATGAAAACACCAGAAAGAACTTGGCTTTTCAGTGCAGAAACGGAAGAAGAGAGGAAACAATGGATATCTGTTATATCATCTGTTCTTGAAACACCCGAATCCTCTCAAGATTGTCAAGTTTACCTGAGATATAGTTTAAGAAATTCACTCTCTTACACGAAATCACGAAGCAGCACGGGAAGCCATCGCAATAGTGGTTCAAGTTTCACTGGAACATTAAGAAAGGGTAAAAATTTTTTATCGTTTGGTTGATCAACTAAACCTACCTAAATAATCATCATTTTAAATCATCAATTCATTAAAAAATCAAAATTATTGTCAACTAAAAAATAACAAAAACCCGTTTCCTCTTTGAATTTATTTCCTCTTTTTATTCCTTTTCATTTAAAATACAAAAAAAACAGCAAAATTTGTTTGTTGATGCTACTCTTCATTCAAACTCGCCCCAATAACACACCAGAAATGATCAAATTGAGTGTTCATTAACCTCAATCAAACATGGTCAACAATCAATATCCACAGTTGGACGGATATAATCTCTAAATCCGATTTAGATTTAACTAGACATTTGGAACAACCATTTAAAATCAAACATTGCTTAATGATTAAAAAATGGTTGCACTGAAGACTCTTGGTTCAACAAACCTTTAACCCAAACCCCATTGAAACTCACAATGAATTTGGCTTGTCTTTCCAATTGTTTCAAAAACAATCTTTTCATGTTAACAATCATTGAAAACAATCAACCTAGTCTTTCCAAATTTGACTAATCTGATTTAATCATCTCAACCTAAATCCTAATAAGAAGGATTGATGTTAAACAAAATATTTTCCTCAATTACATCCTAACCTTATCCATCATTCAAAATGGCCATCTTACGAGTAAACAATTTAACCTTAACTCTTTTTTTAAATACAAAAATCTAACCATCAATTGTTATCATCTTCAACCAAGTAATAAGTTAAATTTTACAGTAAGTTTAAGTACAGATTCAAAGCTGATCACTGTTTAAATTTTGAGATTTCAAAAGAGTTGTTCAACACAAACCAATTGTTCCCAAACGATTGACTTGATTCACATTTTTTTCACTGTTTTCACTTGAACAACAACAATTATTGCTATTCTTTTTAATTATTTTCCTTGAACTACTATTAATATCTTAACCAAGGTGTCAAGTTGTTGCCAAAACAGTAAAGGAACCAAATCCATCTTCCTATCCATGAATCTCACCGTTTCCGATTCCTGGTTTCATCAACCCAGTCTTGTTGCCAGATTGTTGATATTATGTTACTATCAACCGTTTTTTGTTGGCATAAACATCATTTATTTATGTCATATTGTCTATTAATGCTGATCCAAGAGGAAGAAGAAGAAGAAGAAACAAGAAGAAGAAGAGTAAAAATGAAATGTGTAAAAATTCTGAAGCCAATGAACCATTCAGAATTTTCAATTTTCATCGTGAAAAAAGCAGATTCTTTGATCCTTTTCCCAACCAAGTGAATGGGAAAAAAGGGAATAATCCGCAAACTTTAACCATCATATCAATACTTTTATTCAATTTTGGTTACATGGGCATTTCAAATTGACTTATTGTATTTACCTTTACCTTAAACAATCTTAATGGCTGGTTATATCATTAAGCATGGCCAGTTCTTGTTTTTGTTTTCAACATTTTACAGAAAGTAAACTTCAAAGACTTGGCTTATTGAGTTGGTTTAATGTTGGTTGAAACCTTTTTTACCTTTTCTTATGAAAATTATGGTTAACCATTCATTGAGAATCAATTAACTGTGAAATTTTAATAGCAATTGTTTTCTTGAAATACAGTAACATACAAAAACTCAACAAAACACATCAAAATATAAAACAATCTCAACACTTTTTTAGCTAATTTGAATAGCTATTGAGCTAATGATAATCACCAAGAGTAACCTCTATTTGTTATAATTTAATCCATTCTCATGTTTATTCATTTACATGATGATTATTGTGTTAAATGAAGTAAGAGTTACAATTTTTTCAAATATGAAAACCTTGACCTAAACCAGAAATTGATAAAGATTCATTTTTTTGCTCAATTGATGTTGAATTGAATATTAACCTAAAAAACGATTAACTTCAGCTACATTTGATTGTTGTTTCGATTAAAATGAAAAGGATGATTAAAGGTAAGTTAATTAATTGAAAGCACAAGTCTGTTGTCCAAGTCTTGTTGATTTAAGATTGTTTATTTGGCCATTGGAACGCCATTGTTGATTTAGTTTTATCATGATTTAGTGTGATGATCAGTGGATGTACACAATTTCATGTTTATACTTCAAGTCTGGTTAAATTTGTTTATTTACCTTATCCATAGATATTAATCATTAATCATGTTCACGGTCAAGTTGAACTGAAATCGCATTCACAATCATTTCACTGGTTTAACAGCATCAATGGTAATAATTTATGATAATAGTTTTTATGTTTACCTTGAGAAACATTGACTGAATTTACAATTAACAGATTGTTCAAATGATACACCCAATAAGTTACCATTGTAATTGACTAAAGGCAATTTTTCATTACAACTTCACCAATAAACCCAAACATCTTACCTCATCTCAACAGAAAAGTCATCAACTAAACCCATTCACTTTTCAACCTTGCAACAACTGTTGCTATTTTTCTTGCTCTTATATTCACTTGAACAATTCAATGATATTATGTAAACCTTTTCATTTTTAGATTATTGTTTCTGTAATGTTTTTGAAATATAAAATATTCAACATTTCCACAGGTAAAACAGCTCTTCTGTTAACTCAATTAGATGTTTTGTATTTCAAATGTTTCTTTCCAATTTGGTTTTTCATTTAAATTGGACAACCTTTTATCCTTCATTCAGAAACTAAAATGTTATCCTTTGAAATTTTGATGAAATATTCACAAATTGTTCCTTTCGTGAAACTAGAAAAAATAAAGATGCTCAAAGGTTGTAATACGATTGCCTGAAGCGAGTTGACTTTCTTTGGTGTGAAATTCTGGTTAATCCTATTGAGAAAAATGAAAGTATTAGTTAATAACAAGCAATTGTAGGGTTCAATTCATAAAATTAATGATACAAACCTAATTTTGCTGCAAACAGAAACATTACAAGGCAGAATCCAAACACTGATGAAAGTTGTATTCAATTTTGGTGATGAAAATGGCAAAACACAGGGAAATAATTGAAATCTTAAGGTTTTTTCTTAGCTTTTCATGGACCAAAGACCGAAAGTCACCAGCATAAAATCAAACCCGGAAACATTATGCTTACTCATATTCATGTTTCCTTTCGAGTTGTTATCAATTGGCAGCTGATTTTAACTTATTTATTTTCTTGCAATATGACCTGAAACATGATAATCACGAATTGAGATATGAGCCTGTAGATTATGCACCTAATTTGTAATCAAAATCAAATCATGACAGGTCATTTTGTTCAGCAGGTTGACCATGATGTGTTTAGCTAAATAAAAAAATCTAATTTACTGCAAGTAAACAAAATTACTTGTGATTTTTAGCTCATACAGTTATTGTCATTTTAGTAACCTGTTAAGGTTACCTTTAGTTGAGTTCATCGTGATTCACAATAATTTTCACTGCTACTCATTATTGCTTGGTCATTATGGGCTTAATGTACGTGTTGAAATTGCACTTTTTGTTGGTTTACAATTGATTAGTGTGTTTAGCCAGTGATGGATTGAATGAAATTTGATCTTTGGTTTGTCTTTGCAAGTCAATGATACTCTGATTAAATCTCATGTAAACATTTCAATCATTTCCATTTGTTTGAGCAGATTAAATCACAAGGTTAATTGTCTTGTTGTCAACTGGTTAGTGAGGAAGAACTTGAAACTTTTGATTTTTCAATTGAACTCATTGGCTGATATTAAAATACGATCCATGGTTTTTGGTTCTGTAAGTTGACGTAGATTGAAATAATACAATAGGCTGTAGGTATCAATTGATAACTAATATTTGGTTATTGTTGTGCAAATATTTGAAAGGATTGAATCCATTTATTAAATGTATTAATATTTAACCCATTAATGATACAGTTGCTATCCATTTGTTAACCATCATCAATTATTTGCTCCTTGGAACATATTTCATCAGCTATTCATTAAGTTCAGGTTAGTCAAATAAACCTTGAAAAATCCCAATTCAATCTGTATTGAATCGTACGGAAAATTTTGCTTTTAATATTTGCTGGTCCAGTTAATGTGATGATTAGGAAGTTAAGTATTCAATTGGTTGTTGATTATGTTGATGAAAATATCAAGTGAAGATACAATAAATTGCCAAAATGATTGATACTCATTCAATAATCAATAGGCATCAAGAGTCACTGAGCCAAGCTCAATGGGCCGATAACACATCAATAGAGGTAAACAAACCCAGTTTTTGAATTGGTCAATCCAGGCAATAGCTAATAGCTCTTCAGAAACAGTAAACAATACAAATATTTATCAACTGTAATAAACACTGAATAAAGTAAATTTTAACCCATTAATCTATTAATTTGAACATTATAATATTTTAATAAAGATGAACATGCACAACAAATTATAAATAACAAAGCTTCCATGCTGCTGGAAGATAGTTTAGCCGTAGAGATGGCGCTATCAATTACTGGCTACCAAAGAGTAAATTATGTTGTTAAATTTTTCAACCTGACTACTTTACAGTTAATTTGATAAACCAGATTAAAAAATGATGCTAATTAAATTATTGTTATTATTCTGTTTCTTCCTCATCTTCTTCCTTTTGATAACTGTGATGGTTGACTATTAAATATAAGATGTTCATCTTATTAAACAATTTATTAAAGTTGATCACGCTTTCAGTTTGCTATTCAATTTTACCTTTTGGTTTCACGATTTTTTATTCTTGCTCTTTGCATCACCGTTTGATTGACTCAATTAATCTTTCAGTTGTAATACAATTGAGGGTTGACTTGAATAATCACTAATCAAAATGGAACCGCTCAAAGGATTCAATTAACTGAATTTCTAACCAAAATTAATATTACAAAGTGTCTTTGTAAACCACATTTTCGCTTGCTGTTGCCAGTTGTTTTGTTCACCATAACAATAATTATCTCACTTTTGTTGATACCTGAAACGTACAATTTAATTTAATTACTATTCAACACGCTTTTCAATTCAATCCTTTGGTTTAATATGATGAAGTGATTAAATAAACACAAAAAAGGTAAGAAAATTGAAACACTTAAACTGAGCCTTCAAGGCTAAACAATTATTAAGTGAAAATGGAAAAGTGAAAACACAAAAACTGCAAAAGTAGTTTAACATACACTTACAGACACACACACACACTTTCACTGTTAAATTAACCAAATAATAATCTCTATTTGATCGCTGTTAAATGCAACAATTTAAACTGTACGTGTTGTGAGGCAGTTGATGACGTTTTAATTAACAAACAATTTTTGGTTGAAAATAAGTTAAAGAAGATCAACAATTTTAACCCCTTTTTGTGTGTTACTCCAATTGTTATGCGATCTAATCATTTTCACCTTCATAATGAAGGCATCATTCTTATTGTTTCAACTGTTACATTGGGTGTGTATGCATGCTGATTACATTGTTGATTGGTGATTAAAACTGATTGACAGGGAATAATTACATTAAATACAGTTCATATTTGCTTATTTCAATCATTTGCTAAGAGGAATGACAGTTAATGAGTAGGATAGAGTTGGATTACAGATTCAAGTACAAGTTTAAAATGAGACAAAATAACAATTGTTTAAACTAAAGAACCATTTGGTTATCAGTTAATTGACTATGGCTGTTGATTAGTTGGTTAAAATTCAGTGGAAAATCAAAGAAGTGAGAGAAAACATGATGTTGATGATCATTATATTAGCAAGAAGAAGCAAAAAACTGACACTCAAACTGGACTTGAAGACTTTCACTTTTGGCTTGAAATTTTGCAGACTCCAGAAGATGATTAGAACTAATTAAGTTATTTACCAAATTAACATTATCAAGTTAAAATTAACAGTAAATTGAGATGAGGAAAAGACTAAAATTGTAAAATCTGGATTAACTGGTCAGAAGAGACTCAAAAAACGGGAATAAAATGCTTCTTAAATGACACTAAAAATACAGCAAGTGAAAAGAAGCCATTGGAAAGATTAACGTTAAAAGGCAAGATTTCAAGGGAAAGGTTATCCTGTACTAACGACAAAAAAAAGATGATCTTAAATTGTAACCATCAATGGACAAGCTATTTATTGCCAGTATATTAACAGTTGAAGGGCAAACAACTTGAAACATTGAACCATCGACAGGAACCCCAAAACGATGATAAACAACAACATTTCTCATCTTTTCTTTTGCCAATATCAACAGCTAATTGTTTGTAATGGTCTCTGTAATTATTCATTACAACTTGTAAATTACTGTAATCCTTGTATTACATTGACTCTAATGGTTGAGATGGCTTGAATGGATGCAGTCGGGTAACAAGCAATTATTAAAAAATTGTTTCTGTCCGTACAATAACAATAGCTTTAAATGGTCGACAATTAAATTTGTAAAAATTTAAAGTCATAAACACGATCCTTTATGTAGCTGCATGTTAAAAGGTTAGGTTTCAATCGTTTTGGATGATGAATGATGAAAATAACTTGTCATCTCTCGTCTCATTGTTAGCAACATTTTTGACTGAGGTTAATTGGAGATATAAAGAGCGGTTCATTATTTGGTTCCTCGTCTCAGGTCAAATGCCTTTTTATCCAAATTTTTGTACATTGTCAGTCCTCTTATTGACTTAGTTAACAAAGAAGTACGCGTAAACAAACGTTTTTAACGTTTGCTGTCAAACCAGTCGTGACTTGATCAGGTAGAAGGTACAAGATGATCAAGAATAGACAGATGATGGATAAAAGACAGAGAAGATAAGATAATGTTGATGATGATTGTGATCTGTAAAAATAAAAAAGAAGATAAAAATACGTTAAAAAATGTTTTAATATTGAATAGGCTTTTACATTGAGAAACTAGTAACGTTTAAAGTGACCAATTTACTTCGATTTCAATCATTTCAACAAAAACCTATTGACCTGGATAAAAGATCTGATACTCTTAATTTGATCATTATATTTTATATTTATATTTAATAAGAGATTAAACATGATCGTTAGTAATTTTTGTAATAGCTTGACTTATCCTTTTCTGTCTCATCCTCAATCATCAATCAAAGCCCATCCATTGCATAGAAACAATGTTTGACTTTTGATTAAGGTTAATAATCGTAAATTTCATCAGTTTTTTTCTCTCTAAAAACATTCTGTTGATCAATAAATAGTGTCATATTTAATTGTGTCTATTCTTGTGCAATTAACAACACAACAATGTCATTAATGGTTAAGTGTCACCGATAGGCAGAAGGGATCAATGACATTATGCCTTGGAAATTGGTTTGATCACTGAGTTGCTTGAAACTTGCATTAATTTATATTATTTCAAATGTATTTTCAATGTTGACTAAAATGCTGAGTGATTAACTAATTGATTGATGGAAGGCTTTCATCCCAAACTGCAGATAACATTGTATAAATACGAGAGTAACCTCTTTTTTTTCTTGCTTGCTTGTTGCATTTCAAATGAAAAATAAAGTTTTCACTCTCGCCCTCAAAAACATGGGATAAACAAGAAACTAAATCGGTTATAAATTGACTGTATATATCCGGTTAGTCCAGTTAACAATTCAAATTAATAATAATATTCAAAGGCACTCACCATTAATCATAAGGAAAAAGCAATGAATCAACTGAAAAGTTGCATCAAAACGGCATTAACATCGATACATCATAATCATATTCATATTCATCAGCTATGGTCATCAGTCACCATATTAAACTAATCAATTAAACTGTTGATTGGTGCCTTCAAATTGAATCTTACAATATTGTTAGTCGTCAGCATAACAGGATTACACCCTTTTAATTAGAAACTCATTAACTCTATATTGATCATCTTCATCATCGTCTGTTTCTTCAATCATCTTTTCAGGTCCATTATCAGATTAGGTTGATTGTTTCCCCTTATTTCAATTTGTATCCAGTTGTATCAATATCATTGCCTCCAAACATTGAGTTTATTACATTCAAGGTAACACCAAAAAATGATTCTGGCCAATATGAAAGGTGAATACTGAACAAAGAGAAAAAGATTAATCGTTAATATTATGTGATTGTAATTGACAGAAACAAAAATAGAGGGAAAGTTACAAAAATTAAACAAAACAACTTATTTTTAGTAAATAAAGTTTCAACCGTTTCATGTTTGCTCTCTCTATGGATTTGCCGGTCTCTATCTCTCTGTCTCATTATTTGCCTCTGTCTATTTATGTTTATTTGCACCCAACTTCCATTTATCTTTCATCTTTCCATGAGGATGAAGACGAAGAAAGAGAAATATCAATACCTTACTCTCTTCAAACTCCTTTTTACTTTCCTCTCTCATCTCAACTTTTTCAAGTCTCATCTTAGTTTTCTTATGTCTTCTTACTCCACCTTACCTACTCTTTCTTTTCTCTCATGTTTCCCTCTCTTTTTGTTTCTCTTCCTCTTCATCTCCCTCTCATCATCATTATCATCATCTTACTCACTTTTGAATTGTACAGCGCAGTGCAATAGCAAAAAAGTTGCTTAGTTCAACAAGATCCGTTGAAGTTACAAGATGAGGTTGAGCCTTATTGGTTATATCGGTTATAACCGTTTCAATGTTTACCTCTCTTCATCTTCAATGATAATCTTCAATGTTTTATAACGTTCCAATTCAAATCTGGATGAAGAAAGTAAAGAAAAGGAAAAAAGAAAAGACTTGTTAATCAGAAAATTTGAATTATACGAAGATTAAAATCAGTGTTACCTTTTTTTTCAAAAAAGTTTTTTTTTCCTTGTCCTTTTTTTTCCTTAGTGAATCTAATTGGAAGTAAACGAAGAAAGTGCGAAACGAAAATCAACTTTAACCAAGCGAAACGACGAAAGTTAATGAGAACAGAGAAGATAATTATATGATGAAAAGTTAACTTGATTGTGACAATGACCATGGATAAAGTTTATCAACACCGTCCATCAGGTTTAACAGGAGCAACAGCAACAACCACAACAGGTATCACATCAACTAGACCAATACACTCCATTGGTCTGTCTCTTAACGGAAGTGTCAACTCACTTGTTAACAGTCCAAGTTCACTATCAAGATTACCTCAACGGAGAGAGTCTAAAATACCTGGTCCAAATAGCCAAGGATCACCTGGATGTGTTCTCAATGGAATATCTTCAACATCTTGCCAGCCAACACTGTCTTCCAATTGTTCATCAACACCAGCAATTGCTCCTCCAAAAAAATTTCTTAATCCTCCAAGTAAATTATTGTCATCTAATCAAGTAACCAGTTCAACAGCAAATGGAACTGAGTCTAGTTTAAGGTCAGTTTCACCGGCAACAGTGTTTAAATGTAAATCAACTACATCTCATTTAATCGTGCCTTCTTCTCAAATGCCTCCAACATCTTCATCGTCAATGACAACAATGATATCTCCTGCATCTTCATGCGTCACTAGTTCAGTTCAAAATAGCACCACTACAAGTGCTACTTGTAATGGTAATAACAGTGAAACTAGTAGAGGGATTAGGCCACCTCGATCTGCATCCTCTATGTCATCAAATGTTTTACCATCCAATGGTTCTATGTCAACAGGTAAATCTACTCTAACAGTAAGCCGATCTCATATAACTAAACATTCAGTGATCAATAATGGATTAGCAACGGTTGGTCGATCAGGATCCATTCAGGGTCACCATCGATCTGTAACTTTGAGAGAATCTAAAGATGACAGAGAAGCTCCCCGTCGATCCAAGACTCCATCCTCCTCCTCTTCACCCTCTACTTCAGGTACTCTTCGTAGTAATAACAATGGCAGGTTAACAGCGGGAAACCTGACCAATGGACTCAATTGTAATCGAAGTGATTCAACGCCAAGTCTCTCTGAAACTGATTCGGGATCAGAGAAGAAGAAAATAACTGGCAATAATAAAAGTTTAATTCGGTCCAACTTTGGTAAAGGTCTAGGAGGGGGAGTGGGTGGTGGTAGCAGTCAAAGCATTCCTTTACCCAAGTCTAGACCAAACTCAGTGTGCCTTGATAACTCAACCATAACCAGTTCACAATCTTCAACACCAGTAATAACTTCATCTACTACAGTTTCATCTGTTAACGGTACAAATACTGTTTCCAAAGGAACCAAAAGTAGTCTAAGACCACTTTCATCATCAGGAATACCCAAAACAGGATTATCTAGCTGTTACCGTGGTGAAAGACCAAATCCAAGTACAAGTGAAGACCATAGAACTGATACTGTTCAAAGACGTCGACGAGTTGTGACTAATGTTGAATCACATCTTGCACCAACTCGATCAGAGCCAAATGTTGCCAGAGTTTCACCGATTCGTCGATCGATTGGTCAAATTGGCAATGGTGACAGTGTAACTAGTCGTCCAGGATCAGGTTTAAAAGAGGATAACCATCAACAGTCAAAACAGCAACATCATCAATATAGTCCTGGTGACAAGATGGATCAAGATAACTACAGTTCTACCGGATTAGCTGGACGTAATGTTGCATCAAAATCCTCTTCAAGTTCAAATGTCACTTCTAACGCAATGGTGCCATCATCAATCAGTTCCCCAACTCCCTTATCATCTGCATCAACAACTTCATCGTCTTCATCAATAATAGCAACATCGTCAACTCCATCAACAACTGTAACAACAACAGTGACAACAACATCAACCTCATTTCATCCAACATTAATGCATCAACTGCCCTTGGGCTTATCTTCCGTTAACAGGGCTTCAGAGCCAATGTTGCCAATTAGATCAATATCAACAGCGGCATCATCTAATACAGTTTCGACTTTGAAATCAGTGATGGAAGAAAGCTTACCGGTAAAAGCAAGGTCAATACTGTCTTTATCATCACCATCATCTCCAACTAATCCATCAGTTGATAATAAAGATGCTTACCCACAAATCAAAACAATTGATTTATCTGGTAATATATTATCTTTCCTAGACTCTTCAACTCGTACAATTAGCAGTAGCTGTGATCTTATTAGTACATCAACTCGTTGTGATAGCAATAATCGATCATCAGGTTCACTCTCATTGTCATCAGGTAACTTTAATTCAAACATTACGGAATCTAGTCACTCGTATTCAAATGGTTTCATGTCTCCAGTTTTGGAAGATGAAAGATCCAGTCCTAGCCGAGAATCAATTGAATCTCCTTTTGAATCACCATTTAACCAAACAGTTATAGATAAGTCTAAACCATCATTGACAAATATCCCATCGTCACCTACAATTAACGCAAGTTTAAACACTGACCAACAAGTAAACAAAGTAAATGAAAACGGTACAACCTTTTCCATGATTAATTCTAGTTTTAACAACAATTCCACCACAACCGTGTCTTCATCAGCAAATTTAATTAACAAGGTTAACCGTCGAAACAAGTGTATCCTACCAAGTGAAGCCGAATTAAGTTTAAAAACTGATCTTAGATTACAAAACAATGGATTAACCAGCTGTGGATCTATTATGGAATTAAACTCAAATGGATCCAATATAATATCCACAACACCCCCGCCACTTTCAACCCTTCAACTAGCTCCCCCACCACCTCCATTAATCCTACAATCATCTTTAACAAATCAAGTTAAAAGATTATCCAAAAATGGCGAATTTCGAGGATCAACAATATCTCTACTTTCTGGTTCCTCATCATTTTCTGCGGTAAGTAAATGTGCAAATGATCCCCCAGAGGAATGACCTATGGTTCATCATCATTATCACCAAATTTGCTCTTCCCTTTTTTACTCTCTTTCTTTCTCTCTTTCTCTTCTCTCTAATGGATTGAATAACTTACTGTTGGTGTTGTTTTTCACATTGTTTTTGTTGATTCATTGGCGTATATCTCAATAGTCCATCACCGTAGTTCCTGCTTTGTGTTTAAATGAAGTCTGTATATGTTTACATGTTATATAGTATGTGTTCCTTGACAAGATGACACGGTTTGTCGACCCTTTGTTAAAAATAGAGAAAAGGTGAGGAAAGAAAGAGAAAAAGTTGAACATTGTTGAGAGGAGAAAAAAAAGGTTTTCTTTGAATGTTATTCATGTTAGAACAGGTATCAAACTTCACATCAACATCTTCGATATGTTGTTTGCATCAGGTAACACCATCAACACACGGACTCTTGAAACATCTCTCGTCAAAAGTTTAAACCTCAAATAGACCTTAAATAGTGTCAAAGAATCAACACCCGTGACTGTCAGAAGATCTCTCTGTTTAAACAAAAGATCAAGTGTTACCTTTTTATAGCACTTTTTACAGCACAACACTCAAGTATTGTTCGTCTTTTCAAAGTCATTATTCTAGGTATGACTTTGAAAAGATGAATTTAACAGAGAAGGTAAAACGATAAAAAAAAGTCCAAACCTTTAAGACATCCTTTCACTTGTTTAATAATTTCTTAGCTAATTTTTGGGTGTGAATGTCCTGAAGTGCGTCAATCGTGTCAATAATTAAACCTTAGCTGGTCATCGACGGTGAAAGTCTATTGAAAATTAATTTGGATAACCTGTGAAGCATGGTTAGGAAGATTCTATTTTTTGTTCAGAAGAGTGAAAAAACCCATTAACACAACAACGAAGAGTAAACTTGGTGTTTAAACTCTGAAAGTGATTAATTTACTTTCTTATTTCGTCGCCACCTAATTTGGTTTCTTTTTTTGTTCTTTCCTTTCTTTCTTCTTGCTTTTTGGACCAAATTCACTTATTTAAAGACTGAAGAGAGACATAACCAAGAAATGAAAAAACTTCGAGAGGAATTGAATCGAGCTAACAATAAAGTGGAAACCTTGAATCAACAGCTCAAGAATAGTGTAAGTATAACATTTACTTTTGTCTTCCTTATTTTTCTTCGATCTTGTTTCATCTGTATCATTTTGTCGATCTACATTTAATATATTAAGAGAATGTATCAAATTTTTGCACAAAATTGTGGTTAATCTAATTGAGTTCATTAGAGCTATTAGAAAATTGCTCTTTTCGACAGTTTTCGAGAAATTTTAGGTCATTGATTGTGTGGATTGAATTTATCGTATCGCAGAAGGCTCTTGTGTCATTTAATAATCCTGATAACCACACACACAGGAACACACTTTATCCACCTTTCAAATGATCCTGTAAATCCTCAATGGAGCTGTAATGCGAAGTCAAACATCGAGATTAAATGTGTCTTGAAAGATATACAAATATACAAATGAACAAATGAATGCTGAATGATTGTTAAATGAACATTTGTTTATTTTTTTACATTATTTATTGTTCGTTTCTTTAGCGTAGGCTGCTAACAATGATAAGCTTTTTTCCAAGTCAACTAATCCTGTTCACCTAATAGGATTAAAATACATCGTAACACATTTATATCTGGGTTCAAGTTGGAAATCGACTCTGAATTTTACGTCCTAGGCCATATTTACTTTAGACACCCACTGATTTTAGTCAAGCCAAATAGTCTTGTTCCACTTTTTTATACGCTTGTCAAAGTGATTCTGAGGAGTACTGAAAAGTGACAATTTAAGTGTGTAAATCTCTGTGTTGTGCAGTAAATGAAGCTATTTTATCTCCTTTTACTTTCATGGAACTTGGAATGAGCTTTAAAATCTGATTCCTTATTTCTTTCCTTTTATAAACACTTGAATTACTGTCTCTTAAGTTGACAATTTTGATGAAATTTTGGAAGTCATTTAAGGAGGCTGAAAGAATGAACGGAAACAAAATCAAAAGCAAAAAGAAAATTAGTGGGTGAATTAGAAATTCAGAAACTCATACATTAAACTATTTAATTCGTTGATTAATGTAAAATTTGAATTGTCATTGGTCATCATTTAATTGCATTTTTTTCTCATTTACAGAATGATATGATTCAAACTTTTGGTAAAAGCTTGGAAACTCTTCGTTCACGGCTACATCAATGTTCACTGGCGACTGATCAAAAAGATAGGGAAATTGCTAGACTCAAGACAACAATTGAAGTTCTTCGACGAGAATGCGCCAATGGAGAATCAACTGGAGCTAATCAGTCTTGTTACGGTTCAAATTCCGATATTGAGACACGACGTGATAAAAATAAAAAGCGATCTCATAAAGAACCACGATCTCCTTCACGGGATCGTGATGGTATCAATTCAGGAGATTCTGGTCCATCTGGATGGTTTAAGGGTTCAATTCAACGTGCATTCAAAAAGAATCGATCTAGAAACAAATCAGGAGGCTCAATGTCGGACGTTGAAGGAACTATACGATTAAACAATGGTGGCGATTCATCCTCTTTACCCTCTACCCCATTAACATTAAATAACTGCAGCAATGGTAAGACTGACCCGTTTATCGGATTAAACTTAGCAACTGCAAATGGTACAACTGTTAATGGCTCCTTAGATTCAATGGTGAAGGAGGAAAGTGAATTAATTGAAGATTTAAAGAAACAATTGAGAGAAAAGGAGAAACAATTGAATGATATTAGATTGGAAGTCCTTTTAACAGCATCTCAAACTGAATCACTCAATGATAGAATGTGTAAAATGAATAAAGAAATGTCTCTTTTGAGGAGTGAAAATCACCGATTGCAATGCCTTCTTCGACGACAATCAATTACATCGTCAATTGGTTCATTAACAAGTTGCTTTGAGGGAACATTATCTTGTAATGTTAATGGTAATCCTAATGGTGCACCAGCTTCATGCTCTTCTTCCTCATCAAATGGTTCTTCAGCTGCAATTGGATTTGGTATCGAAAGAAAAATACCAATAAGATTGGGCATGAAAAGAATTGGTCTTTTAACAGTCAACAATCAAATTACTTGGGACATTCTTGATGAAATAATACGACGAGCTTTTGATTCATATTTACGTAAAATTGATGCTGAAAGACTTGAAATGCGCTCAATCAGTTTAATTTCATACTCATTTGGAAGCGAACGGTTCGAGCGTAAATTGTCTCTAGACAAAGGATCGTCATCACCTTTAACATCCTTGCCTTCTCCAATCGACTTTTTATCCCGTAATAACTACATAAGCCTTTACCTTCGTTCAAAACTGGATTACCTGATTATGGATACTTGTACGCCTAAATCAGTTTTAGAAAAGATCACTTCTCATTTGAAAGAATCGAGGCGTTTAATCATTTGTGGTCCACCCAATTGTGGTAAATCATTTATTGCCATGAAATGTTGCCAATTTTTACTCGAAGAGTATTGTATGGATTGCGCGACCGGAATTGCAAGCATTTCAGTTCGAGAAAATAGTGATAAAGAGATTGAATGTTTCATTTCCAATGTATTAAATTGCGATGAGATTGCTCGACCAAAAGCAATCGTGTTCAAAGGAATCCATAATTTGGCCAATTTTGCTTCATTGATGAAACCTATTCATGGAATCCACTCGAATGATCTTCCCTTACTTTTATGTACAATGAGAGGTGTCAATAATTGCACAACGAATCTGCAAATATATCATAATTTCCGAAGTGTTATTTATAATCAATCAAGTGAACCTTGTAAAAATTTGTTATCTCGAGTTTTAAGGAAAAAAGCTGTTGATGCTGAGATTGATGCCTTAATCCATGGATCCTCTTATAATTTTAATTCTCTCTCTGTGATTATTGACTGGTTTCAACAATTATTTCACCACTTAAACCTATTTCTTGAAGCCTTTTCGTCACCATTAACTCCTCACAATCTAGGTAAGTTGTATGATTATTGAAAACAAACACAAATATAGTTTTAATTGTTCAACTCTTTTTTTCTCATTGATTTAGGACCATCTGTATTCTTTTCATGTCCCTTGGATATTGAAGCATCTCAAGAATGGTTCATAGATACTTGGAATCATACAATTGTGCCTAATGTTAAACAAATTGTTGAAAATTATTCTTCTGAGGCAGTTGAAACTTCCTCTCCAATGCAAGATCCTTTGATTTGGGTTAAAGACAATTACCCTTGGATTGAAAACAAGGAGCATCTTCATAAATTGTCACCAATTATTGTTAAAAATGATGGATCAGGTTGTAAACCTAAAGTTGATTCAATTACGGATCAATTGGTGAGTTATAGTTGAACATTTTTTACACAAATGGCTTTAAAGTAACCTTATGAGTACACTTAAGAGTGAAAGCTGATTTGATTGCATACATTTGTTCAATTACTAACAATGAATTTCAAGAGAGAAATCATTCCTGCTTATCAAAACTTAACTAATCTTGAATATTTTTTTCCTTTGTTTTCCAGCATAATACTTTATTGCGACTTCAAGAAGTTACTAAAGGATGAACTAGCTTGGTTTGAAATTGATGAACAATAACTCATTCCATTTAAAGTGAAACCAATTTGGAAATTGACAAAGTTTCAATCATTCCAAAAGATTTAGGAAAATGGTTCCTCAAATTTTAGGAATACTGATCGAAACGTAGATCATTTCAACCATGTGTGTTCAGTATTTTACAAATTGACATCCAAGATTAATGTAAAGACGATCGACTCTTGTCAAAATACATTGTTAACTCTTTTAAACTGAAATTTCGCTCTCCATCATCTGTAAAAATATGATTGATTGAGCGCTACGAATAAAAAAAATTGTAAATAAACACAACTTATTTATCCAAATATCCACTCTTTTAATTGTTTTGATTATAAAAATATTTAATGTACGCGTCATCAGAACTAAATTTTATGTTTAGATTGACAATTATCCGAAGGAAATTTTCTCACACTAAAGTTTAATGCCAATTAGAGTAAGAACACTTGGTCAAGAGAATTTAAATAAAATTTTAAAATAATGACAAATTAAAATAAGATTTTTCGTTAATTCATCTGAAATGATCAATGAATAAAACAAGAATAATAAATTGTTTGAGAAACAATTTTGCAGAAATTATTAAGTTTCGATTATCGATATTCACATCGATTACATCGATATGCGTAACCGATTTTCGCGCAATTGAGAGAACTTTTTGAAAATAGCTGTTGCTGATGCAACTCTAGAAACTAAAGAAACGAGATACTAATTCAAGAATTCTACCGTTAATTATTTTTTTCCTTTCGTGTTTATTAATTGTATTATACATTTACTTATGTGTTGATTGTTTCAATTCCATTTCAATAACTACGGCATCAATGGAATCAACAAAAATTGGCGGTTACGATGTCTTTTTCCCATTCAAACCTTATGCTTTACAAAAAGCCTACATGAGTCAAGTACTTAAATGTCTCAGAGAGGTTTGTATTTAATTTTAATTTTTAATTATGAATACTCAAATGTAAAATAATAGGTTCCCGTGTTTTACTGATTCAATTTCGGTTTTGTCACTTTTTATTTTGCTTTTTTTTATTTACCTTTGTCAGATGTTTTCTCTATTCTATTTTCGATTCCGTTGCTTCACTTTTTCATATTTTCTCTTTATCTCTTTCCCTCGCATTTCATGATATTTCGCTTGATTAGATTTTGCTCTCTCTTTGGTTGTTAATCTTAATTCAAATATACATTTTTTAATTAAGCTTTTCTTTGATAGAAACAAAATGGCTTGTTGGAAAGCCCTACCGGCACTGGTAAAACGCTTTCTCTTCTTTGTTCTACGCTATCCTGGTTGGAAAAAATGAAATTATCTCCATTATTAAAAGTAATGGATACAAAGCCCAAAATGATAAATCTTGATGAATCTGGCGACCCATTCGAATTAGCTGATGAATATGCTAAAGATTCAAAGAAAGACGAAAAAAAAGGACCCTTGAATGAAAATCCTTCTCCCAAAATCTTCTATTCTTCTCGTACTCATGCACAACTATCCCAAGCATGTAAAGAAATGAAGCGATCTTACTATCGTCATATGTCTGCTGTAGTGATGGGAGGCAGAGATAATCTTTGTATAAATGAAGAAGTTATGAGATTGGAAAGCAATACCGCAAAAACTCATGCTTGTCGCGCTAAAGTGAAAGCTAAACAGTGTCAATATCATATTCAATTTGAAAGGAAAGTTGCAACATCCGATGATTTTAATTCAACGCCCATCTTGGACATCGAGGACCTTGTCAAGTTAGGAATGAAGCATAAAGTTTGTCCTTATTATGCAACTAGAGTAGTTAAACAAAAGGCCGATGTAATCTTTATGCCTTATAACTACCTATTAGAGCCATCATCTCGAAAAGCTCTTGGAATTGAAATAGTGGGTAATGTGATCATTTTCGATGAAGGACATAACATCGAACGTATCTGTGAAGATGCTGTATCTGGTCAACTAAAATCTGAATCGATTGAATTTTTGATAAAGGAGTTGAAAACTCTTGCCCATCATATGCGGAATATTAATTACGTTGATAACATTGGTCCTGAAGCATTGGATGCATTAGCAGATCTAAGTCTCGATGAAGTAACTTTGTTAAAAGACACTTTAATTGCACTTCAAGGTGAAATAGAAAAGGCTGTAGAAGGTACGGAAGATAAAAAAGTTCATATTCAAAAATGGGTTTTCGATATTTGTGAAAGAGTCGGAATTACTTTTGGTCAACATAAATTACTCATGAGTGCTATCGAAAATATCATGGCCTACGTGATTAATACCAGCTTAATGGCTGGTCATAGTAATTTTGCTTCTTTTGCTGCTCACCTCCAATTGTTTAATGATTTTTTATTAATTATATTCCCTGACGGATTTAACGATGAAAAGTCTTGGTTGGAATTTCAAGCAGAATTCATAAAAAAATATCGTGTTTTCACAGAAAAGGAAAACGACGAGAACAACGAAAAGAAAACACATAGTGTTTTACAGGCTAATGGTTTTTCACAAGTCAATGGTTATTCACAAAGTAATAAAAGGTTCAAAGGCTGGAACATGGTAAACAATAATAAGTCACCTTTGGATCAAAAGAAACCTTGGACTCTTTTCTTGTGGTGTCTTAGTGCTAGTATTGGACTAAATGGCTTAATACGGCAAGGAGCCCACTGTTTAATAATCACAAGTGGAACATTGGCTCCATTACATTCTTTTCAAATTGAACTTGAAACTCCTTTCCCAGTAACTCTCCAAAATAGGCACATCATCGACGAAACTCAAATCTGCATTTATATCATCAAACAATCATACAACGGCATCACTTTTAATACTTGTTATGATAATCGGCAAAATTTAGAACACATTCGAGCTGTGGGACAAAGTATTGTACATTTCTGTAAAATCATCCCTGATGGTGTTCTGTTATTTTTCGCTTCTTATGCTGTTATGACTAATATGTTGAAAGTGTGGCGAGAAAAGGACAAAGACTGGAAAATTTATTCGACGCTAAGATCAACAAAGGTTCTGTTTGAAGAACCAAGAGACAAAGTTGAATTTGCAAGTTGCATAGAACAATTTAAGCAAAAAATCGACGAACCACATTCAAAAGGTGCCATTTTCATGGGAGTTTGTCGAGGTAAATTATCTGAAGGTCTCGATATGGCAGATAAATATTGTCGAGGTGTACTCATGGTTGGCCTACCATTTCCAGCTACTCAAGAACCTCGCATTCTGGTAAAGAAACAATATTTGACGGAATTGAGAAATCCTGAACTAACAGCAAACGATTGGTATACTTTGCAAATGAAACGCGCACTTAACCAAGCCATAGGCAGAATCGTTAGACATAAAGATGATTACGGAGTTGTACTCCTCATTGATACAAGATTTGAACAGCACATAACAGGCTTATCTAAATGGACACAGCCATTTGTAAAAACTAAAACTTATTCCGAAGCATCTAATGCAGTGACCCGATTTTTTGAGCGTCATGAGGCAAAGTCCAAAGATGAAATCACATTAAATTGAGTGTACCATATGTATTATTTTTTATTGATCCATTATCCGAATTAGAATTCACGTATTAAATGATTTTTGATAGAATTGTACTCATCATATTAAATTGTTAAATAATGCATCTCGATTGTCTACTTTAATCACTTCTTCATTCTTCCCTACTAACAAGAGTGTAAGAGCTCGACTGTTTATTCTTAAATTACTTTCGGTACTCGGCAATCCGACAGAGGAATCACTTCATTGACATCTTTAAGCGATAAATTGAATCTTATATTAATCTAAAAGATAAATCTAAAAAACCCTAAAATCTTGATATTTTTTTCATTCTAATCGCCATAGTAGCTTTTACTATAATTCATAAAAAACAGAAACATATTTTGTGTAATATTAATTTATTAATCACAAAAATTAATACCTAAAGAGCAGAATTAAATTAGTTCCGTTCAGGTTTGTTGGGTTCACTTAAACCTTTTGCCATGAAAAGTTTAGCAATATTTTGACTTGCAACAGTTGAACTCAACTGGCAATAATTGAGAGTTTGACAATAATTAAGAAGAGCTTCCAATCTTTGAAGAGGCAATACAGCCTTAATTATCTTGTTGATTTCTTCTTCAGACATTGGTGGTTCACCCCGAGCTTGACGAGCAGCATTTTCTTTTGAAATTTGCTGTTGCTTCAAAGCAAAGTTTCGTTGGTAGTTGGTCCATTTAGCAACATCATCAATACACTTCATTAATGGATGAAGAGTCTTTTCCAGCATAGAAACTCGGCCCATATCAAGGAATTGTTTACCTTCATCTTCGGCCATTTTATCCTCAATTTCACACAAAAGTCCCTTCACGAGGTAGGAGTTATGAATCTTGACAGGAATTTCCTCGAAAAATTTATCGAATGACATATTGTTCTCCTTAAGAGTATCAATTGAAAAGACACCTTCTTTACAGAGTTTGATAGCCAAATTTGTAAGACGATAAGCTTTTAAAGAAAGGAAACCTTTTGCTGTTCGCACTGGATCATAAAATAGCACAATTGATTCTTCAATGGCTGCTTGATACATGAACTGAGCATCAACTGTTTCAATTTTTGAAAGGCAACTGCCATAAGGGTTGCTTTGATACCAACCAACATGAAGATGGTCAACATTGACATTTCTTAAATGTCTCATCATAACATATTGATATTCAGTTTCATCAATATCATCTTCCTCCATGTGTCTAGGGAAAGGGAAACAATTGGTAACTTCTAAACGCCTGTCCATAATTAAACCAAGCAATACACCTTGAATTTCAGCGGTTGCACCTCCTTCTTCTTGGCAATGTTTAATAATCTTGAGTATAACAAGTCCATCAATTTGCACATAGTCGATAGGTCCTTCAGTAACTTTAACTTTACCGATTGGTATACTTCTAGAAGGTCCAGCCATGATTATTAACTGAAGTAAAAATAAGGAACAAATAAATCAAACAAAATCAAGACAAATCAATACAAAAATAAAGCAATGTTGCTTACCGGTATGAATGTATAGAAAGAGAGAGAGTAGAAAGAATTGCCACGTGTTGTAACAGATGCTGTAGTATGCTAAAAAAATTAGGAGAATGAATTAAAACATGAAAATTCAAGTTGGTGCAGCAATTAGAACTGTTAAACAAGAAAATAAAATAAAAAACTTACCGGAAACTAATTAAAAACAAGATTAGACAGAATATGGATTATAAGAGGAAATTTTCATTTCTCAAGTGAAGAGATTTATCATCGATACTTGCAACAATATTCATCGATATTTGTTTCAATACTATCGACATCGATAATTTAAATTTTTACCGCGTAAGTCACGAATCTTGTGCAATGATTCATTAAAATGATTCATTAAAGTTAATCTTCATCGCTTTTTTCTCCAATATTTTCTTTGTTTATTTTCTTGGTGTTTTTTCAATTGTTGCTGATCTAAGAAGTTCAAATTTTTCTGTGTTTCTCTTCTAGTCATCAAAATGAAACTTAGTGACTTAAAGACGCTAAAACCGTTCTTCAATAAAACAGTCGATGAATGGATTGAAGCTTACCGCAACAATAGAGAGACAGCAACTCTTGAATTGTTGCAATTTTTCGTGGCCTGTTCAGGATGCAAAGGTAAAATCACTCTTAAGATGAGGAGATCCATGGATAATGCTAAAATAGTCACAGATTTAACGGACCAGTTTGATGATTCGGCTGGTGGTGCTTATCCACTTGTTATGAGTGGACCTCAGTGGAAAAAGTTTAAAGTCCACTTCTGTGATTTCATCGGTAATCTCATGCGTCAATGTCAATACAGTATCATTTATGATGAATATCTCATGGAGAGCATTATTTCATTTTTGATTACTCTTTCTGATTCGCAAGTCCGAGCTTTCCGACACACTGCTACATGTGCTGCTTTGAAACTAATGACAGCTTTGGTTGATATAGCTCTAACTTTGAGTGTCAGCATTGATAATACTCAACGTCAGCTTGATAAAGTGCGACAGGAAAAGGTAAGAGGAGAAAGACTTGACAATCTTGTTGCTAAGCGCCAAGAGCTCGACGGGAATATGGAAGACATCAAAACGATGCTCGGTTACTTGTTCAAATCAATATATGTTCACAGATATCGAGACATAGTTCCAGAAATAAGAGGATTATGTGTAACCGAAATCGGTATTTGGATGGCGAAGTTTCCAAACCATTTTCTCGATGATTCTTATCTCAAATATGTTGGTTGGACTTTATTTGACAAAGTTGGCTATGTTCGACTCAAAAGTTTGCAATCTTTGGTGCCTTTATATGAAACAGAAGAAATCGCTGATGAGATGGAGTTATTCACTCATAAATTCAAAGAGCGAATCATTGCTATGACATCAGATAAAGAGCCAGAGGTTGCTGCTCAAGCTATCAAATTGATCATCAGTATTTTCAAACAAAATAACGATGTTCTGACAGATAAGGATTGTATCCATGTCTATGAATTGGTCTACGCAACTAATCGTGGTGTAGCTCAAGCTGCTGGAGAATTCCTGAACGAAAAATTGTTCAAAATTGATGAAAATGCTACTGATGAATTATATTCTCGCAGAGGTAAAAAACGATCAGTTCATACTCCATTAATTCGCGATTTAATAACATTTTTCATCGAGAGTGAGATCCATGAACATGGTGCATACTTGGTTGATAGCTTAATTGAAAGTCACCCAATGATGAAAGATTGGGAATGTATGACCGATTTACTGCTAGAGGAACCTGGTGCCGATGAGGAAGCCCTAGATGATCGTCATGAAACGGTTTTAATAGAGATTATGGTTTGCGCAATAAAACAATCTGCTACTGGAGAGTGTCCAGTCGGTCGAATTCCTAGTCGTAAGCAACTATCCAATAAAGAATCAAAGCAACTCTTTGAGACTAAGAGTAGCATTACAAAACATTTCATTGTCACTCTTCCTCTACTTTTGGACAAATACAAGACAGATACGGAGAAAATTGCCAATTTAATGACTATCCCTCAATACTTTGATCTAAGTCACTATGCACAAGATTTTGAGCAACTTGAGTCCTTACTCAAATTGATAAATGAGTTAATAGATATTCATTCTGATTCAGAAGTCTTAGAGACTTGTGCGAAAGCCTATGAATATCTTTATGACGACGATTTCGCTTTCAAAAGAGATGTATGGGTCTCTAAAAGTTTATTGTTGGATAACCTGGTATTACAAAAATACAAGAAAGCTGTTCGCTCTTTTACGGCATATCCTGATGGTCGTGATGAAAGAGAAGACGTCGTAATTAATCTTAAAAAGCTGGCTGCTTTAATTTCATGTCTCGATTTGAACCTTTATGAGATTTGGAAAATTGTATTTGAAAATTTTATACGTGGAATTGGCTCTGAAAATGCTGATAATGTTCCAGAAGACGCCATAAAGTACTCTATTAATATTTGTTATTATTCATTGATCTGGAGTCTTCACGACTCTAAATCGAATTCTGAAGTTGGTAGCGAGGAAAATTATAGTGAGGTTCGTAATCGTCTCGCTGATTTTGTTGCGGAACTTCGGATTCTATTATCTTATCCATCTGAGGAAATTGCTAGAGAAGTGAGTATTTTTTAATTCATTCCCATTAAAAAAGAATTACATGTGTTGAACTCCTGAAGGTCTTCCAATGACAACCTGGTGACAACCTAACCGTTTTATTTCTGGCTGTTTTTTACAGGCTTACTTTACTCTTTGTGATCTGCTCATAATTTTTGGCCCTCACTTAAAAACGGACGAACCTTCATTGCCATCTCTTGTTTTTCGTCCTACACAGTCGTTGATTGATAAAATGATAGATTTCTTGAACGATAATGTGTTTAAAGAAGACAACCAGGATGAAAGTAAGTTCCTTTTATTGAGTATTTCATTTAATTTTTTTAACTTGAAACATTTTTCATCAATTCAGGTGACACTACTTTAGTCAACTCAGCTGTCAGAGATCTGTATATTAAAAGACAAGTCTTGGCTGGTTTTTGCAAACTGATCATTTATGGAATAATTCCAATCAATTATGTTATTTGCATAGTCCGTCATTACGTCACAGTAAGTTTCATATCTTTTCTTTTTCAGCATTTGAAAAAATACTAAAAATTTTTTTATTTCCTTTTGAATCTTAGTTTTTCAACAACTTTGGAGATATCTTCAAATTGACTGTAATCAAATTAAGAGAAAAGGACAAAATTCTTTGCGGCAGAACCATGGCTAGTGCTCTCATTCAAATACACAAAGAACTACTAAGCGAAGCTGAAGCAAATTCAGAGACACTAAATAAAGATGATGAAAACTTTTTATCACTGAAAGAATTGGCTAAAAGATTAGCTACAGTGTGTAAATATTCATTTAATTTAGATTTTCTATCAACTTAAATCTTTGTTTATTTTCAATCTCATTCATCCTCCATTTTCCATCAAGAAATTCCCAGCTTCTTTGAAGATTTCTGTATTTAATCAAATTTTATAATCTCAATGCTGTGAATTTAGTCAATTACGATTCATTTAATCAGTATAATGTAAAATTTTCCCCGAAAGTAACGAGAAAATCTTGTAACATTTCGTTCTTTGTTATAGCTTTTCATATCTACAACAGATGGCGTTGTAAAGATAAAAATTAAACTGTTAAAAATTATTCAAAATTTGTTTCTAAAATTGTTTTTAATAAATAAGTTCATTATAAAATAAAGATAAAAATAGGATTTGATTTAGAAAATTTAACAGTTGAATGATGAGAATACAAAATAGTTAAATTGCAATAGGCACAATGTGAATATGAAGAAATGATTAAATGAATTGTGATAATTGAAAAACAATCCAAAGGAAGACAAAGTTTTTTCCTGTGATCCAAAACATGAACATTGAACCAAATGTTGATATGCTTGATGCTCATAAATATGCCTTCGATGACTGTCAAACCGGAGTTGAATAAAAATTTGAAATCTAAATGTCATTGAATGCAAAACGAGACAAATCGCAACACAAAAAAAGCAAAAATAAAAGTAAGAATTAATCGAAAATCAAAATTAAAAAAAATATGTGACAAATAAAGATTCAATATCCAGACAAAACAAAGAAAAAATGAGTTGAATCAAAAAATGACAGATTTTTGTTCAACCCATCATTGGATTAAGGATGGGAAAGGATGAATTATTTTCACCTGAAATGTTGATTCTTGTTTGAAGAGGAAAAGTTGAATATGAGTTTCAAGAGAAGCAGAATCAAGGTGAAAAGAGGAACAAAAAAGGTAAAACAATTTGACAGGTAAAAAGAAAGAAAACAAAACAAAGTAAAACCAAGAGTTTGAACAACAATGTGAATGCATATAAAGGTAATAATAATATTACGTGCAAGTTGGAGTAAAAAGTTATTTTTTGTTTTCTCTTGTTGAGAAACAACCAAATGAAACAATCTTGAAACTGAATCATGTAATATTGAGAGTATTGTTGGATTATTTGATGTAAGCTTGTTTCAAGTTAACCCCAGTTTCATGGCTTTTTGATATCACATCAGATAGACAGTTATCATTAACATGGTTTCATAAATTGTTGTTGTTGGTGTTACTTTTTCATGTTTTTTTGCTTTAACGTGATTAGTAGATTCAAGTTGAAAGTTAGTTGAGTTTACAGTATTTTAAGGCAACACTGTTTGCAATGAGTTGCTTACATCTTGAACCATTGAGGACAACTTGGTGGCTGACGGCGAGTACGAAACTTGCGTTGAAACTTCCATGTTACGAGCATTTTTATCACTAATCAAGTAGGTTGATGAACCAATCAAGGTTGACCCTTCATCATGCGAGTTTACCTCGGATCCAACAGTGACCACTACAGTGTCCCCAATCTCACGGGTAACAACGTTTCCCTGCGAGTCAACACCAACAACCAAGGTTGATCCATTGGTGAGTTTATTGGTGTTTCCGTGTTCAACCAACGATCTCAAAGAGGCTACAAGAAAAGGTCAAAGTCAAGGGTTAAAATGGCTTTTCTTGGTTTCCATTTTGTTTGCTTTTCAATTATTTAAATTTACATTTTTATTTGTTCAACAGAATTCAAAAGCTAATTAGATTAGGCAAAAATATCATTTCACTATTCGTGTAGCTTATTGAATTTTCATGGAAAAGACATTATTTTGTTTTTACTCTTGCTTATGAATACTTTTTACTTTTGAACAATTCATAAATTGAATGAACTTTTTCCATCATTTCCCTCAACATGGAAAACTTTTTTTTGATCTCCAAGTTTTTTCTTTGCAAATTTCAGGGTAAACTGTTGTTTACAGCAAACAATTTGATTGTTCAATGAATCCATGAAATTTTGAATTGTTACTCATCAAGATTGAGATGAATTTGAAATGCTCAATGAATGATTAAACAGAAAACAAAAAGAAAAGCTGTTCAGAGTAAAGAGGAAGAAGAAAATATTTACCTTCTTTTTGAACATTTTTTTCCACAAAATTGGCCAAACCGTTAGCTTTACCATTGATAACTCGTTCACTTGAACCATCTTCAGATCTAATGTGAATACAGGGAAGAAACATTGAACAAGACAAATGATGAAATATTGAAAAGGAATGAAAAATAAATGTTTACTTTGAACGAAAGTTGGAAACGTTGGAGAATGCAAAAGATTTTTTTACTTCTCTCGAAGTGAACATAATGCCAATAAAATGTGGCAAAGGTTAACATTGGGAAACTACAGCTAATAGCAATAAACAACGAAATGAGGAAAAGAAAGGCGAGAGAAGAAGAAAAAATTATTCAAGGTAAAGTGGAACAGAAAATTTATTCCAATGCAAAAGATAAACTGTTGGATGAAAGGGAACAGGAAAACTGGGAAGGAAAGGGAATGATTGGGAGTGATAAATGGATAAATCGATGAGGATAACTTTCTTAACCATCAATTACCAGGTTATCTTAAAAGACTTTCAATTCGATATAATAACCGGTGTTACAATTCTTTATCTTCTTCTTTTCTTCTTCACTTTTCCTCCTCAATTTGGATATTCAAAGACGCAGATGAACGCAATAAAATGTATTTATACGTTTGCTGCCTTTCAGTTTATAAATGGTTATGAGATTTTGTTTTGCGTTATTCGCTGATTCACACAATTTTCACATTCAACATTTTAAATGATCGTAAAAATAAATAAATAAATATCTTCTCAGTTTCACCGAGTGTTAATACTCGATAATTTCATCCTTTTTTCCTTCTTCATTAACATGAACTTTTTTCCTGCCAAAACTTTGCACTCATCAAAACGTGAATTGTTGATAAAAAGGAGAAATTTTTTTCGTCAAATGTTTCCATCAATGGTTAAGTTATGAAAATGATAATCGTGAAAAGAGGAAAATGTTGATTCGTTTGATTACAGTTTTGACCTTTTCATGGCTCTTGCAGTCTTTACAGTCAGATAAATCATTAGAATGAAGATATTATCGAATCGTCTACTGAATGTTGTTGGACAAAAGAGTTGAGTTTAAATATTATGACCATGTTAAAGAGTAAATGTGCGATTGAGAATGAAAGAGGAAACTGAAAAAAGTGAGGTTAAATTGAAATTGGGTGAAAGAACAGGTTAACCATAATGGACTTGAATTATATATTGAAATGAATTCCATAAATGAAAGTCGAAAAATTTCCTTTCTTTTCCTCTCTCTTCTCTTTTTTTTGCCAGTCTTCCTCATGTAACTTCAAGTACTCAGATTTCCATAAATGCATACATTTCTACTGTTCAACAATTCAATCAACAAAACTTCCCAAAGGAATTTTCAGATTGCTTTTTATGTTCTTTTTCTTTCTCTAGCTTTTTTACCTTTAAATTGTCCAGTCAGGTAAAGTGAAAAAACTGTCAACCTCATTGCTGTATTACAATAATCATTCATAATGACAATAATCATTTAGCTAAATCTCCATCTAAATACATTATTTAATCATTTAATTCAATATTCCCGACAAAAAACTCATTATACAGTTTCAAACAAAGGCAAACAAAATAACCAAAGTATTTTGATGAATGATTGAAAGGTGAATAACATCGATTGATTTCAGCATTTAAGTACAAAGCTGCATATAAATGTAATTTTCAGCGCAAATTTGAACGGCGTTCATGTATCACTCGACTGGGTGCGACTAACTCAGATTCAAGATACTGAAAATTCTTTGCAGAATGTCTTGCTAACCATATAATTTTCCAGGAAAAAACTGAGTCTCATTCTTGGATGTGAAAATTAAAAATCAAAGCTTAAATCAAGTGGTAATGAATAGTTACAAAAAAGCAATAAGAGTTGCCATTTGCAATTGACAATTATAATGTTATAATATTAATTACAGATTTGTCATCATCAGACAAGCTTTAATTTATATACGCTTAAAGTGGCATTAAATGGCACTTGATTAGATGATTCCAGAGATTAACTTTTTATCCGACATTTTATTCTTGCTTTCATTTGGATACTTGATAACAAGCTTATCACTGAAATGGTCAGAATGAATGTTGAATGAAACAAAAATGTTTTCCTATTTCACGGATTATCTCAAACTTGGATGCAAATCATTTCTGCTAATTGAAACATTTCCATGCATTTGACAGATTCTTTAACCTTTACTTTGACCCTTAAAAGGTATTCATGATATGAAAATCGATATCAATTTTCATTGTCTTTATTAACGCATTACATTAGAAGGAAGAGAAAAGTTTTTCTTCTTTTCTTTTTGTTAACAATTTTGACAATATTTGTATAAATTCCTACCATGATGACCTGTTATTGTCAGATGAAAGAGTTTGACTGAGAAAAGAAAGGAACGCAACGAGAATAAACTATAACATGAATTATCATCATGTTGATTCCAATCAATGAAGGGATAGTTTCATTCTTCCTTCACATCCTTTCATGTTTGAAATACATCAACAAATTATCATCTTATTGATTCAATCAGATTCACAAGTAATATTGAACTACTAAATGCAGACAAAAGTTTTTTCTCCTTTCATTTGTGGTTTCATTTTCATCATGAAAGATGAATCAATTGACAGAAAACAAAAGAGAATTGAAAATAAGCAAAAGATATCAATTTCAATAGCAACTCAATGTTCCGATATTGCTTCAAATATCCATCATTATTGGCGGAATTGCGTTTCAATAGTCACCAGTTCCGGTCAAAAAATAATGATGAAGGAAACATTTTTCTTCTTCTTTTTGGTGAAACTTTTCTTGATCCAAATGTTGAAGGCGAAAAAATTGAGACTCAATTTAATCGGTTTTTGATTTACTTTGGTAAAAGTTTTTTGCCAACTTTTAAATAAGCAAAAGTTAATGATAATCAAGAAAATTGGAATCGATTAAGTTGAAGAAAAGTTCAATGGAAAGGAAAGGAGAAGAAAAAAAATTCGAATCAATAGCATGTTGAAAATGGAAAAATATTTTCAACTCAATTGAGATTGTTTAAACATTCAGTTGAATCTGGTTTCATTGATAAATGTTAAAAGCTTAAAATGAATCTCTTCATTCGTTTTATTATCAAGATATTATTTCATGCAAGTCTTTATTTGCTTCCCAATCAATTGATGGTTCAACTGATTCAATGAAACATTCAAGTGAAACTTTTACTTGAGTTGCACCCACTTAATCATTGACTCAGTGTTGATCACTTTTAATTACCAATCAACAGAGAAGAAGAAGAAGAAGAAGAAGGAAAAGACGAAGAAAAGTCTTCAACTTAATCTGAACATTTTTACACGATTAACCTGATAATAAGGTAACCCTAATGAGTTGTGTGGAAAGGGTGACCATTTCAAGGTTCAGAGTGAAGTTCGTGTTCTTAATCAGAGAGAGAGATTAAGTTTGATGGAAAGACTGATCAATAGTAAAGAAGGTTGGAAATGAAAAGAAATGAAAAGTTTCTCAACTTACGGTTTATAACTTTTACTTTTCAAGTGAATTTTGATCATGAAAAGTGCTATTGTAATGAAGATGGCAACAATTATTGTTGCTGGATAAATAACCATTGACATGAGGTTAACTTTGGATGAACTGCTGGGAATAATTGAAGTTGATTCTGTGGAGTAAAAAAAGAAGTTAAAAAGCAAAATGAATTTTTTTCTCTTCACTCGAAAAACTTTCTCAATAAATTCACTTTTTTGTCCCAAAAGCAATTTGTAATCACTTTAGATCAACTCATTAATAGGATTACGCATGCATAAGCAAGTTGATTATATTATTTCAATATTGATAATGATATTGCGACAATTTATCATGAAATAAAAAATGGAAAATTTGCCTAAAAAACTTCTTTTTCATCACTTTTCAGGTGTTGATACATTTATAACTCATTTTATGGATCAAGTGATGCACATTCATCTTAACACTTTTCCATCTTGAAGCTCAATAGAGACATTCTGACTTGTCTATGAATAATATTATCCATGAATAGAAAGTTTGACTGAATGTAAATCAAAGTTGATCAATTGGCTCTTTAAATGATCAATGTTTAGCCTGTGATTTAACTTCGTCTGTGTCTTCCTAGTTTAAGTTGAAATGCAGATGAAACGAGTTTTAAGAAGCCGTTGGGATGAGTTTTGGTTTGTGGATAAGTTATTGTATTCAATGCTAAATAGTGAAAGGTGATTCAATGGTATCAAGTTATTGAGTAGAGGGTAGGAGATGCAAATAATGAAAAGTAAAACAAACCTGTAACATGAGTAGTAAATGGTATAATTAGAGATTGACTTCTTCCCAGCTCATTTTCAGCATAAATTTCAATATGATAACTTCGATTGGATTGTAAGCCTTTAAGATGGAAAACTGGATTTGCATTGGCAATCTTTTCACCAATCAAAAGATCGAGGTTGTCAGAGGGATGAATTTGAACGACAAAGTTTTGATCAACTCCACCATCTGATCCAGGTATACAAGTCAACAGGTCCGTTGTGCTTGGAGGTGGACTAATGTTACAGTTTCTAGGAGCTTCAGGAGGTCCTGGATAATAAGCAGTACAATGGTTAACAAAAAGAACTCTTCAAATCTCAATCGACAGAAAACTCAAAATCGAAACTTTTCATTTTCTCAATCAACATCCAAAATGAACGCAAAAACGAAACTTTCTATCAAAATCAGTTAAAAAACTGTTTTCAATAAACTTTCTAATGTATTAATAAAATGTGCAAATAAATTGTTACTTTGCAATCTTTTAAATCTCATTATTCTTAGCATTTGTTAGTTTTGAATTGAAATAGTTCATTAAGAACATCGAAACATTGAATGTTATAAAACCTAGAAAACCATGAATTAAGAGTAAGCACAATAATCAGTTTCAAAACTCTGAGTTCAGATATTAAACGAAAGAAACTATTGAAGCAATGAGCAATAATTTCAATGAGGCCAACTTTGCTCAAATTATTTTCTGTTTTTACTGTTGATTGAGATTTAAATTAAATTGTGGGTTTACTCACCTGCAGGCTTGAGTGTAATAAAACAGGAATCTTTTGATTTACCCACTGAATTGACGGCGGAACAGGCAAATATAGTTTCATTGGTTGTTATTGGAGTAAAAGTTAGAATACTTGAAAGGCCACTTGACGATATATTAAAATCTATATCGGACGGTAAAGAGTTACTCTGACTTTCAGTCCATGAAAAGGTCACTTCAGGTGGATTCGCATCAATTTGACATTTTATCTGAATTGGAACATTGGGTCTAAAAGCATAGATAATTTTCTGTTGACTGCTACATTGAGGAGCATCTGATGAACAATCCAATGAACCAAACCGATCAAGTGAAGCAAAAAGCAAATTATTGTACAATTATTCAAATGCATTATTCATATGAAACAATTTAAATCGTTTTTGATGGTTTCTCCAATGTGTTGTACTTACATAAAATATTAAGCGAAACAAAATTTGATTTACTTTCTCCAATATTATTACTAACAATACAAACATATCGACCAATATGCTCTCTACCAACCGAATGGAGTAACAATATTTCACCATCAACATTGATTCCTGAGAACAGAACAAGACAAAAAACATTTAAATTTCGTTTCTCAATATTTCGTAGGAACGATTTTCTTCAACGAAAATTCAACATTTGAAAATGGACGAAACTATCAATAACATTAAGCCCATTAATGATTGAATTTGCCTTTAGTGGATAAAATGTTGCCAACTTGAACATTGTGATAATCTGATTGAGAGTCAAATTGTTTGACCGAATAAATTTTTTCGAGTTTTTGTCAAACTGAAACTAATCAAGCAAAGTAACTTTTGAATTACTTGGAAAATATTGTGGACAAAATTGGTGTAAAAAGTTTTCTATTTTGCTGAACAATTTTAATCTTTTCTTTGCAAAGTTGCTATTTGAATGAATATTTGATATTATGAAGAGACTCCATCAACCTTGATAGGTAATCTATTGTGTGATGTTTACAGATTCATGTGAATATCTAAGCAGGAATAGTTGATGAAAAAGGTAAAGTTAGACAAGAGAAGCAAACGAAAGCGATTCTGTTGGATACAACGGGGATGCATTAAGTTTATTAAACTTTTCCTTGGAGTCCAACATGAAAAAAGATGGTAATGATGATGATAATAATGATGGCGAAAAAGACGAAGAAAAAAAGATTGAACAAACGGAGAAGAAAAAGTTTGACAAAATGGCGAAAAGAAAACAAGAAAATGTACATTTTTTCATCTTCTTCTTTTTGATTATCGAAAGGTTCATCTTGTATATTCTCAACAATTCAAGGTGAAAAAGGCGAGAAAGAAGTAAAGACCAAGAAAAATGATGATAAATAAATATTTGGTCATGTAAGTATAATAAGTATGGTATGGTTAAGTAATATGATTGGACAGATTCTTTGTTGAATCGATCAAGCCCGAGTTGGAATAAAGTTGAACCAAATAACAGGGAAAAAGTAAACATTGATATTAAAACCAGGCAATGAAGATTGTTGAGTAAAAACATTTTTTTTTGTCTTCTTCTTCGTTCTCTTTTTACTTTTTTCATAAACTGTTTGTGACCCAACTTTCAATCATGATCACTTGATCATCAATCATTTGAATCTTCATCATTAACCAAAAGTCATTTTCAATCGAAACATTTAGACTCATTTTTTTCATTTCTCTTCATCTTGCGCTTCGTTTCTCCCTTCACTTTGTCTCAATCAAACTTTTTTTCATCTAATCTCGATTTACTCCATTTACTCCATTTGTTCATTTTGCATTTGGACATTTTCAAGTTTTAAAGTTGAACCATTGCGACGACAATTTGACCAACAATTTTCATTAATTAGTTTCAACAATTTTTCAAATCAAAAGAATCTATTTATTGTTGCAATTTGATTAACTTTCTTATGATTTCTGTTCAATTTATCGATTGATTTACTGTTTTTTCTTCTTGTTTTCCTACCTTCATCATTTACTTCAGTTATTGCTCAGGTAATTGGAAGTAAAAGTAATCTCAAAGTTGAGAATTGAAAAGTCAAAAAAAGAAGCTACGAAAATAGTAGAAACAAAAGTAAATAAAACTGATGATGATGATGATGGAAGAAGAGGAAAGAATGAGCAAATAAATCATAATCGTTGAAAGTTCATGTAATGATGAGAACAATTTTCAAGATTTGATGTTATCAGAAAAACTCTCGACATGAAAAATGAAGAAAGAAACTCGATCGTTAACATTGATATTAAATGAAAATTAGCTAATTGTAAGAGTAATGACGATAAAATGTTTACTAAAAGTGTTAAAATGCTCTGAAGAGGTTTCAAGATTTCTCGTATTTTCAAAGTTCGTTCAATTTTGAATTTTACAGAAAATTAGCTGAATATCATTCTCTTTGTCGCCCTGAAGACTGTGATGAATGGCTTGGCATTTATCAATAGCATGTTATTAATAAAATGGCTGAGTAATCATTTGGTTTGAAGACAAAAGTTGAAATGAAATGAAAAATGCAAGTTTTAACCTTTTCTGATTAAGTCATTTCAAATGGTTAATTTATATTGATGAATGTTCAACATCAACTGTTTCCTTCATGATTTAACCTTTCATTTGTTTCTTCTGTTTTTCTCATTCAACCGAAAGGCGAATGATAAGAAGATGAAAAATGATGATAAACTTTAAAGTAAAAGAAGAGAAAGAGAAAAGTTTCCAAATTTTCTTAAATACACATCGTTACGTATTCCTGTCACAAATGAGTTTTACGTTGTTTCTCATTGTACTATTATTTAATATAAAATGATAACTTATCGTTGAGTTTGCTTCTTGTTTTTGAGTTGAAAGATTGTACGATTGAATGGAAATGAAAAAGTGGCAAAAAGAGAGAAAAGAAAGGTAAAATGGAATGAAAAATATCATGAGAATTTTAAGGTTCAATGAAGAACTGAAAATGAAAGATTGAACCTGTAAACCTGAGATAAAGTAGCTAACGTATAAGCCACAAACGGAATCGTTGCAATTGCCATTAATTTCAATTAAATGGCCTTTTTGCTGGGAGTCACTTTTGAATTATATGGCAAGCTGAACAGCAGAAAAGGGTGAAAAGACAAGAGACGAAAAACAAATTGTTTTTTTCTTCTCTTCTCTAGAAAAATAACTTTTCTCTCGATTGTATATTTTTAAGAAATGTTCATCGAAAACACGATTCATAATAATAAGGTTAACAGAAATGATAATAATAATGATAAACATGATAGACTTTTTATTATATCATGTAACATCTAATGTGATATTGAGAATGAAAGGGTTCTGTGAATGATTAAAGGGATTAAGGTTCACATGGAGTGACTGGGAGTGAAAAGTTATCTGATATTTAACAGAGGAAAGATGAATGTTGAAAGGAAATGTTGCTAAAGTAAATTTAATGGAGAGAAGAAGGGAAAGATGAAAAAGGACAAAATGGATGACAATGATCAAGACGAGCACAATTTTAGAGGCAAAAGTGTAAAGTTACGATAAGTAAAGGTGAATTTGAAAAGTTGGAGAAAAATTGAAATGAAAAGTGAGTTTGATTCTGATAGATGATTGTTGTTGGAAAGAGGAAAAGGAAGACTCTGATGATGAAAATTTTCAGGGAGAGAGAAAAGAGTAGAATCATCAATTTGGAGAAAAGGAGAAAATTTTACTTTCCATTTTGCTATTCAACAAAAGACATGAGGAAATGTTGACATTGGAAAAACTCGACTTTTCTTCGCTATTTCAAGTCTCTTTTTCTTCTTCTCTTTACCATTTTCCTTCCTTTTTCTATTGATACTTTTTCTCTCTTCTTTTTTTATTCATTTCTCAGTTTCATTGATTGAACCTTTACGATTGCAAGTTGATGAGTGTCAAGCAACCCAGTTGTTTAGCTAATAACTTGGTTTTATTTACAGAATGTTTCATTTGAAAAGTTTTCTCGAGTTCATCATTACTTAAGGCACTTTTCATTTTGACGATAATTAATTTCGAAATTTACTTTCCAAGCTTTTCATTTCCTTTTCCTTTTCTTTTTCTTGTTTGTCTGAAAGAGTATTGAGGGTGAAAAAGAGTTGGAAGTTACCTTTGAGAGGCTCGGAATATATTCTTGAAGTTTCATGATACCATTGATATGATGTTACATCAGGATTGGAAAAACTTGTGTTACAATTCATTCGAACAGAATCACCTTCCATGAAGTAATTTTTCTCATTATCTGGACCAGAAATGATGAGGTGAACATTGGGCTTATCTGGTGTGTCAACGAGAAAAAAACATGGAAAAACGAAGAGAAAAAGAAAAGATGTACTGTCAAACCTCCGATAATGTCACACTCTCAAAATGTCACAGAGTCATGGTAACGAAATTAAACAATTTAATTTAATTCAGTTTTTTAATTAAATAAATTTTGCAGGACTTCAATAATGGTTTTAATTGGGTATATTATACGAATTGCCCAATTAAACATCAAAAATCTCAAAATTAAATTAAAAATTAATTTTTTTTGTTAAATAAAATTCGTAAAAAGGTTATTCCACCTAGAAATTATGTAAAAATAGCCAAAACGCTAATCCCACGAAGTGACATTATTGGAGGTTTGACAGTAATTTATTAAAATTTTGCGTCAAAAGCAACGGAAAAGGCTTAATATGATTCTTGGAGTAAATGTATTATTAGTTTGTTTGGTTGAATAACTACATTTTTGATTTTGAGGTTGAATAAAAAGTAGAGTGTTTATGAACATTTCATGTCATCAATAATGAATCATGAAGAGCATGAAGATGTGTTTAAATGGCGAGAAAATTTGAAAATTTGAGGGGAAAAGAGAAAAGCTAGAGAATGAACTTTGGGAAAATGCAATCACGAGGTTCATCTGTATCATGGAGGAAAATGATGGAATGAAAGGAAGCAAAAGGTTTGATTTTGAAGGGAAGGGAAGAAAAGGACAAAAACAAAAGTCAAAAAGTTGATTATTATTGTTGTGTCAATGATAATCTGATGGTGACATTTGATTTGAAAGGTAATCTCAATGGTGCATGGAAATATCATTATTATCTAAATTTGAAATTAACTGAAACCCATCAGAATATGAATAGAATGGGAAAAAGAAGAGAAAAAATCTTGCAGTTCGAAGCTTCTCTTCTTTTGTCTCATCAACTTGAAGCCAGCATCGATCAACCAGCTTGAAGACGCATAAATTGAGTTGAGACTGATCGATGAAACAAACATCGAAGTTGCAACAAGTTGAATGAGTTGAAAATTTAAGTTATGAAAAGTATTGCAAAGAGAAATTTAAGATTTCGTTCGGGTATACATAATGGTTGTTGCAGGAATAGAGATAATTAAGGGATCAGAATGGAATTAAAGTGAACATGATGAGGACGAAAAGGAAGGAAGATGGTTCAAAGAATGTGAAGTTTCGAATGAAGTTTTTAATAATCAACCAAATATCGAGTTTAGGTATCAATTAAATAGCTTTTGACTTTTACTTGGATGCTCTGTGAGGGTCAATTATTGAAGGGTTTAAAGTTGGAGCAAAATTAACCATTTATCTTGATGAAAAGAAAATAAAAGTTTCAAGTTTTCCCTTTTTTCGTGAAGAAACATGTTTCCTTTGATTTTTGAAAGGTAAAGAAACGATTGAATAGGAAGAAGATTTTACAGAAGCGATTTTTAACAATAGCTTGGATTCAGCTTAATCTCTCTTAATTGCGACAATTTAGTTGCTCGCAAAACCAACCTTTTCCAGCCAAAAATCAAAGTAAACAATTTTTTCTGGTTGAGTAAAGTTTCAGTTGTCAGTAGTTTTCATGGTAAAATGTATATCATGCCAATGTTGTGAAGCATCGGTCGAGAACAAGAAAAAATATCGAATTGGAATGAAAGTGGATGAAGCAAAATAAAAGCTAAACAAATATAAAAGTTTGTCGATTGTTTTTTCTTCTTGTTTATTGCTTTCGTCTGTGATAAATTCATTTTCTAATGAATGATTCATTTTGCTTTTCATCAGATCAATCAGCCTTGAATGTCATGAATGAATGGTGGAAAGTTTCTCATTTGTAGTTGCTAGTAGCGATGTATTTTTAGCGCATTTAGAACAAAAGGAATGGTCAAAACTAGAAACTGTTAACAATGAAATACTCACGATGAACATTGAGAAGAATCTGATCCGTCTTTGAGTAATCAGGAAAATGTGGGTTAATTGCTTTACAGATTAAATGTTTACCATTGTGATTAACACTAGGAGTGAATTTGAGTAAACTGGTGCTAAATAAGTTCGTTTCATCGATTGTTAATCTGTAAATGAATTGGAATCATTAGTTATTCAATAGTTTCATTTATTAAACAGCTAATTGCAGTTGACAAGTTTATGGTTTACTTTAAGAAGCTTTTGCGGCTTCTCAACGTTTTGTACTTTTGACAGAAAAGATGAAATGTAGTTCAATGATGAAGTGATAAACTTGTTGTGTTGCGATAGTTAGCTTCACTTTTGTCCCTTAAATGGAACGAAATTTTGTTTCTTTTTGTCTTTGTTTACCAACGAATTTCACCTTTTCTTCTTGGGTTACTTTTAAGTATTTAGTTATTTATGTTTTGTTTCATCTTCATTGTTTCAAATGGAGATTGATTATCAGTTTAGTGAACCAGAGAAACTGAAACATTTCAGGGCTTTATCATGAACGAAAAGGAGTGCAAAGAAGGTGAAGTAAATGATACTTTTTTGACTTTGTTTTTACCCTCAAATCGATAGTCTTGTCATGGAGGATAAAAAACTTTGAGAAAAGTGTTGCAGAGTAAAAGCTAATCGCAAAGACAAAAATTGAACATAAAATATGAGCTTAAATTGTTTTAAACTATTCAATTGTAAAACACAAGTTTCCTCGAAACATTTGCTTCTAATAAGGATTGATTTCTTTTCCATCTCGAGCTAAACATCGAAGTGTAAATTGGATAACTTGAAACAATCATTGAGTTTGAGACTAATTTTTCTCTTAAAATTCTCATCTAGTCCGCTCGAATCAAAACGTTTTTCAAACTTAAGATCAACAAAATTATCGAAGCTTATGTTTCTTTAAAGCAATTGAAGTTTTTCGAGAGAAAAGAAAGTTTGTTTCTTATTTTTATCTAGAAGTACATTTAGACGATTATAATGCAAATGCAAGTAATGATTGAGCATTGAAGAGACACTAAACGCCAACTTGAACGATATTGAGGAATGTTTTTGTTGAACAAAAGGATTCCTGGAAAAGGCTAATAATGATGAAGATGAAATGCTTAACAAGTTGTGAATGATTTGCATTAACAATGTTATAAAACAAAAGCGATGAGAAGTGAGCAAATAAAACATTTCCAGCAACTTGTTTGACACTTGTTCTGTAAATTCGTAAATTAAATTCTCAACGCAAATAATGGGTTGAAGATGAATGAGCAATGAACAGAGAAGACAATTAAGGCTAATTTATAGTTGAATAGATGAATGTCACAAAATGAGAACATTTACATCCACCAAAATTATCACCATCATCATTACCCAACATTCATGTAACAACAATATTAATAGTCGATATCAAATTTTGTATCTTTTCTTTTCTTTCGCATTGTAAACAAAATTTTCAAATAAACAGGGAATCAAAATGAGCCAGTATTACAACCATTGTTGTTGGCTTATATGGAAACCAGTAAATGATACAATCAATGGTTTCCATTATCGCATTTCAGCTTCTCAATTTCGCCTTTTATTCAACATAAAATTGAGCTGAAAAGGAAGAAGAAAATTTTGTCAACAAAAAAAAGAAACAATTTTCATTCTTTCATCTTATAGCTCAATGTTGCTCTTGAAAAAACATTGTAAAACTACATTGAGAACAAAAAAATAGAATAAAGTTTCAAATGAAAAATTGATCTTTCAAATGAACATATAAACTCATAACAGTGAATATTTATAAAAGGAACTTTTTTCATTCCTTTTTCACCAATTTTTTCTTACTTTGTTGTGATAACAGACGAAGAAGAGGACAAAATGAAGCTGTTAAAAGGTAATATCAAGTGAATAACCTTGGCAACTCTCAGAATTTTTCAGTAATGTTCAGTAATAATTGTTTGACTTTCCATTTCTCTCAGTGAGATGAATCTTATTGGAATAAATTTGACGAAAGAAGTTGAATGTTGAATAATATTATCATTTGTGATTGCAACTAAAGGCATTAATATTGAAAGGAAATGCAAAGAGTTTTGAAAAAAACATGAGAAATGTGATGAAATTGTTTCAGAATTTTGTGTTTTGGTTGTGAGTTAAGAGTAAAGATTTGTCGAACAGGATTAGATGAGAAAATTTGGAAGGTAAAATATGAGAATGAGATGAATGCAAAAGAATTGGAATAGAATGTAAAAGAAAAGATGATGATGAACATGATCTTCATGAGAAGTTGAAAATCTCATTGAAAGATCATTTAAGGTAAGGCAAAGGATCACGTAGGATGTAAAATGAGCAACTGGATGAGAATTTTAACTTTCATGTTCAGAACTGTTCAGATTGTAATTCATGTTAACTGTTTACTGAATTATGATATCATAAAATGATCAACAACCATGAAAGGATAAAATTGGCCTTATGGTGTAAAGAACGAGAGGGAAAAAACAAAGAAATGTTGAAAGATAATTCTGTTGTGATGAGCAAGATGCTGATAATGTTGGCAGGATTGGCTGGGAGGAGGGAATGTGTAGGGAATGTTATAAGCATCGAATGGGAGGAGAAAAGTTTGTGATAACTGGGAGTGAAAACTCCAAGTTGACTGAAAATATTAGTTGAGAATGGAATGAAACTCTTTGTTTTTTCCAACTTTTCTTTTTCCTTTTTTTGCTTACATTATTACCTTGAATAAGCACTTTTATTGAGCAGAAATCTGCTGACAGGTAAGACATTGTATTACAAGGAGTAAAGAGGTAAAGAGGAGAAACCAAAAAAAAATAGAAAATTCAATTGAAAGTCAATCAGTCAAAAAGAAGCTGAAAATAAACCAAAAGCTCGACTTTTATAATTAAATAAGAGACTTTTATCTTGGATTTTCTCTTGATTACATGTATTATTGAAATGGTAATCATGGTGAAACGAATAAATTTTGAATGGAATAAGAAAATATTGAAATGATTGGCAACGAAATTAAATGCACTTTCGACTGTCCATTCCATTTAATCGCACAACTATTTATTGCCTCAATAAAAAAGAGAAGTCAATTTGTGATTCAATTTTGATTGCAACTTTACTTATTAAATTGATGTAATCATTTATCTTGTGGAACATTTGTTTTCATCTTTTTACTCTCTCTCTCTCTCTGGAAGCATCATGAAGCACAAAGTTAATCACTCAACTAATTCAAATTAATGATTTGTATTGATCAAAATATATCGCTTATAACAATAATGAGAATTATCAAAATAAACATTTACCATTTGACCAATTGACCACATAAAGATGATCATTGAACGTCTAAAAACTAAAGTTTCCCAAAATAACAATCTAATTATGATGGTAATTTTGAACGAACGAGAAAAAAAAGGTAAATCGTTATTTACATTTCAAATGAGACTCGTTTTTTGCTTTTACCCTTGAGCTTGGTTTTTTGCTAAGAAATGAAATACGAGAAAAGAGGAAAAAGAAATATTAATTATCATAGAATTCAGGTTAATTCTTATCTCCAACGAAACATGCAAAATTCTTGAGTAGAGTCTATTTTCGAACGAATCAGATTTCTCTTAATAAGATATTCTAATGAAAAACAAGGCGAAACTTGTTGCAATCATATTAATATGAAAAAGAAACTCCCAGTTGAGTGGAATGATATTCATTGAATGGGTGGAAAAGAAATGAAACAAAAAGACTAATTTCTCTATAACCATGATTCCTTACTTTGTCAAGTATTGGATTTAGGCAAGAATTGAGATTATTTCGAGGAAAAGAAGAAAATGTCCAAAAATGAATTCTTTGAAAGTTAAACCTCAATCAAAACCATGAATATTGTTAAAGATATAAATTTTTCATTTGGTTGAGACACAAATTGTTAGATAAGGAGAAACTAATGATATTAATAATAACTAAATATTTCATGTTTATCTTGATATTAAATATCTTGGAAGAGAAAAGTTATTCTCAATATTAATATTCACCGTGTTCATTTAGCATTCTGTAAAGAAACATTTTACTGAATCTATTGCTGAACATTTTCATTTGGCTTATTTGATTCTCTATTTTGGTTGAGAGAAAAGTTTGATAATGGAAAAGTAAATGTTTAAAAGTTTTATTATCATTCATTAAAATACGTTTCACCGTTTGGAGGGCAACAGGGCAACATTATCAATTTATATTAGGAAATCATGGTATTATCCTCAACATGATCATCATCATTATCAGCAACATCATCATCAAGAGAATCCTTTGGCTTGTCAACATTTTTCATGTTGTTCAATGATTCATTTTTATTCCTATTAAACATGATAAGGTGAAGAAGTGAAAATTGATGAAGAGAAAAAAAAGGAAACAAGGAAAAAAAGGTTTAAAAATTATTATTATCATTCCCTTGATTGGTCATGATAATAATATTTTTGTATTCCAAGGCGATAATGGGTTCTCATTAAAAAAACCACCATAACAAGGAGCCTCATTTTTCATGGAACCCCATTAAGCGAAAAAAAGGAAAATCGTAAAATGATAATGATAATAATGAAAGGTGCATTGATTTTTGGTTTCACCTTTTTCATTCTCTTCGACATCATCTTCATTAGTCGAATGGAATCAATGAACATTCAGAAAAGAATTTCAATTGCAAGCTCAATTGTTACCATCGATTGGTTATGATTCAATGTTACTCTTAACATCACTCCAATGTACACAAGGATCAAACAAATGAGTCGAAATGAATGATTTTTCCTCGGACCATTTGGACTGTCACTCAACTCAATTGTAATGTTAACTCCAAGGGAAAGAAACAGACTTATCAATACTTGTATCTTCGATGCATTACTTGGCCAACATTGGAAAGTTTTTCCTTCTCGAATATTATATTTACTTTTTAGAAACATTGAAAACGAATTAGAAAATGAATTCAATTTTAGGTGGAAATTAAAAGGGTAAATATTTGTCATTCATTTGAAAAATTAATGAGTCGTTTGCTCGAAATTATTTTCTGCCAAAAAATGGTTTCCAAAAAATGAATATATTGATGGTGAAATATTGATATTTGTAGCTGAAAGCAAATACAAACGGAAAGTTTCTAGGAAAAGGGATATTCATCACTGAATGTAAACTTGATGGGAATATTGTCAACTCGGAATGGGACGATATTAATAAAAGATTTTCCATTATATCCTGGGATTGGGATTGATTGGTATGGAATAATAATTACCTGGAAAAAAGCTAATAAATTGTTGCAAGAGAAATGTGAGAAGAAGAGTGGAAAAATAGTCAATTGAATGAATATCAATTAATTAGCTTGCAATCGATTGGTTAGCAAAGTTTACTGTGATAATTACTTTTACTGCAAAAGGGAACAACAGTTAATGAAGTGACTATGGTGCCAAATAGGTACAACTGTACATTCAATTATCGAGTAAATATTGGAAAGGCAAATTGAAATGATTACATTCTTGTCATGCTAATATGGTTATTAAAATATTCAGATTCCTTTTTTTTTGCCATTGCGATCGATTGATGAATATTGATGGTTTAAGTGGACAATTAAATGGACTCTCCATGAATACATTTAACTGCTTAATCGATTCAGTTCTTGTCTTGTAAGATGAAAAAAGGTAAATTCTGTAACTTTTTTGCTTCTTTTCTCATTGAGTTGAAAATTGTTCAACCTGAAATGTCAAGTGCATTGAAGGTTGAATTTCATAAAAGATTTGTTTACTTGGAAAGTTGATCTCATCAACTGCTACCAAGTTTCATCTATTCAATGATTCAGTCAAAGTTCAAACTGATAAAGAGTTTCAGATTCTCATAAAAAGATTTTTTGTAGTTCATCAACTTGTAGAGTTAATCATGAAATGTAATGTTTATCAAACTTGGAATCAATGGTGGAATGAAAATAGCAAATCTTAAACATTGACAATCTCACATTTGACTTGAGAAAAGATGAAATGTAAGTTTTAACCATTTTGAATGCAATGCTTGATAATTTTATACAAAAATCAATAAGTGTTGGTTTCATGGTTTACTTTAGCATTTTCAGTAAACTGAGAATCATTCATTTGAAACAATTAAAACAATTTATTCGTCAATTAGCTGCAATTTAATGTGGAAAGGTTGAAACTTACCGACTGTTGTTGAGCTCATAGTCTCCAATGAACCAAGTTATATTGGCCGGAGGTTTTGAACCATAGGAATGACATGAAATCATCTCAATGTTTCCAGCAACAACATTTGACTTGATGAATTGAATTGTTGTATTTAAAGGTGTAACTGTTTCAATAAATTTGAATAAGTAAACATAATATATCATGACGGTGAAGAGGTAAAGTTTACAGAAAAGGGTACAAGTGGGCAAACAGTAGAGGTGAAAAAAGGAGTTGAAACAAAAAGGAATTGAAACAGAAGAAAAAAGTTGTACAAAAACAAGAGAAGGAAGAGAAATGCAAAATAGGTAAAGTTCATTGTTATTCAATGGAGTAAATTTTTAAATCATGAGTTGAATAATCTCAATGAATACGGTTATTATGTAATGGTAAATGAGATTTTCGTTAAAGATTCAATGTTTATTCAACTCATTTCATTTTACCTTTTAAAACTCATTCTCCAACAAAAATTTCATCCAAATAAGGAAAAACTTTTCTTCTCAAATTGACTCTTTTTGCTACTTTCACTTGATAACTTTGAAAATAAAGTTTTCACTAAAAGATGAACAAATCTAGTTTCGAGTGTTGATGAAAATATTGAAAATTACTTACGATTAAGATGAATTGTAATCTCGGTTACCAGAACAGAGAGAAAGTCTTTTAAATTGGCAACACATTTTATTTGACTTTTATCGTATTTCCGTTCCAAATTGAGTTCAAGCCGAGTGTAAGTTTCCTCTTTCATTGGATCATATTGAGAATCACTTGATTTAATAGGAACATCATCAATATACCATTCTAAATAAGGTTTAGGTTGACTAAAAGAGTGACCACAAGATGTTAACGATTATAATTGTCGGTCAAAAATTTTGAGATTAAATTTCAATTCTCAGAAGATATCGTCAAAGAAGTTGAGTCAATAAAGAAAAGTATTATTCAAGAAAATAGTAACTGAACCATGAAAGTAAATTGTCGGACATTTTCATCCTAATAATATCGGTTGTCCAGGAAATAATGAGGCTGAACGAAACTGAATTGTTTTAAGGTTTGAAATTTAATTTTCATCAAAGTAATCGCCCTCTGCATCAATAATTTTATGCATTCTAGGGACTAAATCATCGATGCCCTTTTGAAACCAGGTCACATCTTTAGATGAGAAAAATTCGTCAATAGCTAATTTAAGCTCGTCTAACGTCTCCCATGAACATTTTCTCATGGCAAATTTCAGATTTCTGAATAGAAAATAGTCACAAGGACTTATGTCTGGGCTATAAGGTGGGTGATTTATCGATACAAGACCGATTTCATCGATTTTTTCTCTGACGCGCTGCGTGGTGTGTACACGGGCATTATCTTGTAAGAAAAGGAATTTTCGATTAGAATTTGTTGGCCTTTGATCTTTTAGAACTTCACTTAATTGGTCAAGTAATGATAAATAATGTTCAGAATTAAATTTTTCACCAGTTTTGAGATAATCGGTCAATAATATTCCATTTGAGTCCCAAAAAACGGTTAGCATAACTTTTTGTCCAATGAATTTATTGCTGACTCTTTGAGGCCGACTTGACCCAGGTTTCAACCACTCAGAACTTGCGTAACGTCCACTATCAGGCTTAAATTTCATCCATGTTTCATCGACAGTAATAATTCTCTTTCGATAATGCGTCCAATTTTTTCCATATCTGTGCAAGAATTCAGTTGCGCTTTCAATCCTACGCTTTTTATCGTATTCACTAAGAATTTTAGGGACCCAGCGGGCATCGATTCTTTTAAGGCCAAGATGAACAGATAAAATATTCTGGATTGAAGATTTACTAATATTGAACATTGTAGATAATTCACGAACTGTAAATTTTCTATTTTCATTAATGGCCTTTTGTATCAGTTGGACATTTTCATCGGCCGTCACTTGTCTTGGTCTTCCGGGAGGAGGGCTTTTTTCAGCTAAACCACCAAAATATTTGATATGTCTAATCCATGTTTGTATTGTTGAGTAACCTGGTGAACTTTCACCATATTTTGACCTCAGAGACTCGAAAATTTCATGGTCAGATTTTCCTTCGGAAAAAAGATGTCGAACTAAAACACGGTAATCACTATTTTGCATGATAATTCTAAAGTAACTAGCGCCAATAATAAAACTAAAAGTGATCTATTATTAGTTTAACTAATATATATATTGATATCAGTTAGCGTCAAATCGCTTAATTATACAGGGGCGTCTAGCCTCATTATTTCCTGGACAACCGATAGTTCTATTAGATATTATCTTGTTTCATCTTTTCTTACAAAACTGTATTTTTAGCTCATTCAATGAGTATTTTTATCAACTGTTCCGAGTCTATTTCATGTGAAAATGCAAGAATAAAGTTTTGACAAAAATGCCGATTCATCGAGTTTGTCTTCATTAACCTTTTTATGTTCACAATTGAATTTTCATGAACATTGATTGAGTTTGTTTCGTCTATTGGGCGACATCAACTTTTAAATTGCAATTCGTTTCATTTTCGCTACACTTTTCTGTATTTACTCAAAGTTGAGTTTCATTTTTTGCTGTTGATGAGGAAAACCAATAATCCTGAAAAGGATATTTTCATTTTGAATTGTATTATTGGTTTAACTCATGAAACTAAAGATTCCACGGAGAAAAAGGCAGAAAGAACAAGAAAAAACAAAATTACAATACAAATAATAAGAAATAAATTGGATAATTTGATTATTTGATAAGATATATTTTGACTTGACGAATAATTGATTTTGACATTTAAGAGGTTTACTTTTATTTATGTAAAAATAACTAACTTATATTTTCAATATAAATTGATTGGTATCAATTAGAGTCAACAATTGAATGTTAAACAGAAATGAACAAATCACTAAACTTTGATTATTTTCAATAATCGTAATTGCATGATGCCGCAATCATGTAAACTGAAACAGGGAATGACGAACAATAATGTCCAATGATTGAACAATTTTCACGTTTCTTTTTAAATGAAAGCAAAGGAGAAAGTCGATGAAAAGTTTGATTAAATGAAAGTGAAAAGGAAAGAAACGGTTGAAAAATAATATTTCATTATCATTTTTCATTCCCTGTTAATGGTTGAAATGGTGAAACGAGGAGAGAAAAAATGGAAGATACAAAATATATGGTTATCTGATTGAATTTCAGGCATAAAATGTGATTGGTTATTCTTTTATCACATTTTTCGCTATCAGTTCTGGTTAAGGTGTATTGGGAGGAAAATTTCATTTAAGGAACAAGATTGAAGGGTAAGGAAAAGTGTCTGCAATGTAATAATGTTTGAAACTCATGGAAAGATATTGAAAGTGAAAGGAATGAAAATTCATATTTTCTGGTCACAAATGGAAGGAAAAGTTAAAGTCTTTTTCTTTACAATCTTTTGGCACTTTGGGTCAATCTTCAACTGAACATGATGATGTACATGAGAATGTGCATGACAATAAACATTCAACTTTGCATTCTTGACTTGCATTTGATGAGCAAATTTTTCTCTCTTTTACATTGAGAATAAGAATTTCATTATTTGAGCTTTGGATTTGATTTTTCAAGAGATTTCACCAAATCAGTTTCAAGACTTTTCATGATTGATGTTGCAAACAAAAGCCTCTCGGAAATGCGATAATTGATGTTTAATGCATTTTCAGAGGAAGTAATTTAAACATCACATTTTGGATAAACTTGAAATTTTCTGTTCATTCTATTCATTCTGATAATCTGTTTACTCGATCCGTTGATCGATTGGATGTGGGAAAAGGTAAATTATGCATTATTGTAATTACGATGAAATAATGAATCAATAGCGATGAAAGAAAAATGATAATTATAATAACACAATAAACACATTATTATCAATCTGTGATTAAATTAAGTCTCAATATTGGGTTAAGAAGCACATCTTTTAATAGAGTTTTGGGTTTTTTTCCTTCTTCTTGGAAAAGCAATGAAAGGAATGAATGGAATAAGGAAAATGATAATAAATGGTGAGAAAATTGAATCCAAATTGAATTGAATGTTGATCACTGAATAATGTTAAGCAAATTGGATTTGACACAATAGCTGCTAATTGGTGTTTTTTCCCGAAGTAAATACTCTAGGGAAATAATCATATTCACTGTTAATGGGAAAGTTGCTCTAATTGTTATCAACTGTGGTCACCGTTTTAATTTACTGAACCTGCTTTCCAATGAGATGATGATCAAGTGAGCAACAAGATTATCCAATTTTATCATTCCCAATCAACTGAGAATAAACTTGGAGTAACCTTTTTGTTTAAAAGATAACAGCACAAAAAGGACAAATAACCTTACAATAGACAAGTTGACTAAAATGAATGGAATGATAACCTCACTGGGAGCATTTTCACTCCCAGCTCAGCAGTATTTCAACTTGCTTCATTTGGATGACGAAATTTTCTCTCCAATCTAAAAGTTCTATCCTGCTCAAGTGAAACAGAAATTAAATTTCATTCATGATTTACACTTTTTATCAAGAAAAAGAACAAGTAAATTTTCCTTTCAAGTTAAGAATTCGTCGGATTGTAGGTACATAAAAACTGCGTCCATTCGTGCTACAGAAATTTCTCTGATCAACAGTTTTCGAAAAAATCGAATCAAAGTTGAAACTTCGATCGCTTTTTGTGCACTTGTGCGACCAGATTTTCTCATCAAATTTTTCTGATATAATTTTCAACCAGAAAATGCACTTATTTTGTGAGATTATTTTTTTTCAATTCAGAAGATCACTTCGACTTTTCGCTGAAACCTGGCGCTTCGAGTGACCGTAGTAGTTAGAGATCTGAAACTCATTTTTCGCAGATAAAAATATTTGGTTTAAATTGTTGCTCGAACACTTTTTCCAAGTTATCGACAGTTCTCTTGATTTTGACCATTCGACTTAAAACTTCGAACCTCAATATTTCAAGAATGCTAACACCAACAACATTTTTCTCCCAAACATTAGATTTTATTATGATTCAAATCAAACGAAAAGGAAACTTAATCTCAAAATTTTCGCATTAAACCTGAAATTTTGAAACAAAAAGACTCACCTTTGAATGCTTTACAAGACAAGGGAAGAGTCGAGTTTTCATTGAAAGGTCCAACATGACGATTCAACAGTTTACCCGAATGCGTTTCTTCGATCATCAACTTTTTGGGTGGCACTGAAAAGAAAAAGTAAATAGTTCAATTGAATAAAGTCGATTAATATTAAAACTCGAGATTTTCATTCTTTGCTGTTTGACTTTGCCTGTTCAATAAATCACTTGATATTGATTATTCTTGTCGCTTTCAACTTGATTGATTGGATTAATTAATGCATCGAAAGAGTAAAAATGATTAAGTAAAAGATAGAAAATTAAAAATTGAATCAAATTGCGATTCAACATTTTCCCTCTCTTTTACCTTGGACTTTTGACTCATTAGTATGAAAAATAATATCAATATTAATAAAAAATGAAAGAGCTAATAATTTGATTGGGAAACAAGTGAAACGTACAAATGGTAAACCAGTAAAATAAGTCAATAGTGAAAACTCATTACAATTAGCCTTATTCATCAGCAACATAACTATTTTATTGGCAACAACATGAGTGTTCATAAATCCAGATTATTAGAGTTACATGAATTTTTTCTGGGACTTTTCCTCTTTTACTTTTATTTCAACTTTTGTTCCCTCTCAATGTTGAACTTGATATTGACCAGGATGAAAATGATAATAAACGTTGAACGTGATTTCATGCAATTGTGATTATCTGATACTCTGATAGTTGATCATGAAAACTGGTCCAAACTGTTGGTTCTTTAATCATGATGGAAAAGATGATAAAGGGTGAAAATAGTCAACTTGGTAGCTTAGTAACTTGGAATGTTAATGTTGACTGTTTTTAGATTACTTGTTTAGCTTGTCAGTTTGTATTATTTCATTATTTTTACTCCTTATTATCGTGACTGTAATTATTATTTATAAATGACAATAACTGGATTGAAACAAGGTTGACATCAACCCAAATTTACATGATAAATCTGAGGAAAGTTTTTTTTCCATTTTGTTGGAAAGATTGAGTTGAAAAGATTTATCGTTAATGCTCGTAAATTAGCAGAGATGAAAAGGTAATCATTGGTGATATTGGACAAGCTTTTCAGAGGAAAACTGAATCCATTCACAGATTGATTCACATTGAATTACTCAATGCTATTCATGAGTTTTATAACACTTTTTTTTTCTTCTTTGTCGAGCTTTTTGTTTTCCTTTCCAATCTAAATATAATTTGTGAACCAATGTGATGATGATATTAGGGAAATCTTTTTTTTCCTCTCTCGTCAATCAAATCAATGGAAATCTTAAATATTAGGTAAACAAGGAGAAGAAAAAAAGAGAAAGAAAAAAGATGAAGAGAGAAAAAAAGCTTGCAAATAGATGAGATTATTGTTGAACAGTTATTTGAACATGAATCGAGAGGTGAAACTGAATAAGAATCCATGGATAGATTAATTCATCTGAAAGTAACTTGTACGTTGTTAACATCATAATGAAAGTTAAGTTGTTTAGTAAGGAAAGTAAAAGTCTAATCAAAATGATGAACATGGATTCAGTGATTATTCAATTTTGATTCTTGCAATTTACTTGAAATTAGCAGCAAATTATTCACAAATTAATAACTCATTTGCGCAAAAATCTACAGAAAATTGGAAATTCTGATTGAATAAAATTCTTTATTGCAAATTCGATTCTTTGTAAATCTTTCAATTTTCATTATCAGTTTTGGTTCAACAAAAGATAACTTTTTTCGTTGAAATTTTTTACCTTTTGAAATTTTCTCAGTTAATGCTTGGAATTGAAATATCAATCGAAAGATGAATCGAAATGATTCTTTAGTTTGTTACATTAGAAGGTGGAAGAAGCTTTAATCACATTTACTCTGTTATAATGATGATTGTTATGGGAAATGTTGTTCAAGAAAATTCATTTGGAATGTGAGTTTAACCAAACAAGAATTAATTTCTGTTGGAAAATTAGAGCAACTCAATGTAAGTTAAATGGTAAAATGTTATCCAAATTGTGCTGTTATTAGTTAGGTGTGGACTGGGAGTTGAAAGTAGTGATAATAATGAGCTGGAAATGATAATTTATTTGCATATCATTTCAACCAAAGTCAAAGTCTCGAGCTTTTCAGTTTCAAAATGAAATTAAATGTTTACTCATCATTTTCATTGTAAAAAAATTTTACCCGAGTGACACTAAATCAAGACTTACCTTGAACGTATAAATGGTTATAAGTGTAACGTGTTCGTTGAGCCTTGTAGTCAACTCGACAAGTATAGTCGCCATCATCTTCTTCACGAACATGATTTATAATCAACTGTGATCGGTTAAGATCAAATTCAACTCGACCAGTATAGTTGGTGTTGTCAATGATGTGTGAGGCTGAGGAAAGTGAACGATTGCGAGCATCAATCTTATAAAATGGTGGACCGGTTGCATCTCGACGTCGCCACCAAAGAATCAGTTGAACTGAATCATTTGTGGAAACACTTATTTTACAATTTAATCGAGTTCGACTTCCAACTAGAGCTTTATGAAAATATTCATCTAAAAGGTTAAACAAGGAAAAAGCAAAGAAGAAGAAAAAAGTTTAAAAAATTGAAGTAACATTTTCAATGTTAAAGGTAAACTTGGTAACCAATTATTTCTTGTTTCATTGTACAATCAAATTAATCATTAATTTCATTCTTAATGATGATCAACAAATGAAGTAATTAACCTTAGAAGAGCAAAGGAATAAAATTGAAGTAAATTGTAATTCACTTTAGGCAATGAGACATTTACATTAAGATGGTAAAAATAGTAATGATTATAATGAAGATGATGAGTGAATTAGACTTAGTGATTGGAAATGGCTCGAGGTGAATTTTTGATCAACTTTGACTTTCCATTTTGACAATAATCAAGATTTATAAGATTATCCAATTTGAATCTTTAACAATCAATTTCAATTAATCATTAAACACTTGTTAATGCTTTTAATTGCGGTTCTGGTTTTGCTTATAATTGATGGTTAACCTGGTGAAGGGTAAACTTTTTTTCCGCTTCTTGTGTGTTTTGATGAACAGTTTAATTTGAATAATAATATAAATTTAAATCAATAACTGAGGTAACTGGGAATTGAAAGATTATGATGAGCAGGTAATTCATATGATTCAATTTACGGTGACATTGAGATGATAATCAGATAATCAGTGGAAACAGTCAAAGTGAAAATATCAAGTTTACATGAAATTGAAACCTGGCCACACCTTGGAAGATAATGAGAGATGATGGAAATGATGAAAGATGAGGTTAAAGAGATTTGCAGATTAGTTGGAATGGCCAGGCTCAATGGTCAAGACATGTTAATTTGCAAATGACAAATTAACATTCTTTAATTTTCTCTCCAAATGGAAACAATAAAAGTATTTTTTCTTGTTATTAATTTAATGATTGTTTCATAAGGAAAGGAAACCATTAAATCTATTGTGTTCAGTAATGGAAATAATTCATTGGAAATTAAGGTGAAGTAAATTATAGTTTTTTATGTTGATTGATTAAAAAGACACAAAATTCCTTTTGTTTTGTTTTGGTCAGTTTAATCATTATTGTTGTTGTTTGGGTTTTAATGTCTATTTTCAAAGAGGATGTTACCCATTTCATGATATACTTTTGCAAATGATTAAACTTTTTTTACCCTAAATCACTGTTAGTCACGCAATTTTACCTTCCTATCACAAGAGGTAACAATCTGGATTTCATTTCAACTAGAAATTTATACAACTTTCATTCAACTGTTCAGAGATTTTTTAGGCCGATTGTTGAGCTTTAATGTCAATTGTTTCTAATTGTATCCAAATTATCAAGTTTCAGTGAAAACTTTTTCCTTCAAGAAACATTTTACCTTAAAAAATAAAAGCTATAAAATAAAAGATTTACAATAAGCTAATTGTGATAGATCGTAATCTTTTTTGATTTATTTTAGCGATGATTTTCACAGATTATAAGGAAATGTATGTCAGAATAGACCTTGTTAGACGATTGAAATGGCTGATGAATGTCACTGTTTTGATCACAATTAGGTGTTGATATTGTTAAGTTGTTGGTTAGTAGTTTAGTAGTGAATTGATACTTTACCTGGATGATGAGATGATTTAGTCGATTGTTTATTAGCAATTGAGGGTTGTATTAAATAGAAAAGATTAGTTACACAAACAATTAGTTGTAATTTCATTTCACGTGAGCACCAAAAAAATAGTGAAAAATGGTTACAAGTTTGTAACAGTTAGCATTAATTTTGAGACAAAATTGTCGAGACAAGGTTGGCACAAATGGTAAATTGAGTTGGTGAAAAGGGATCACAATAGTGATGATAACAATCCAAGTGGTGATTAAAAATACACATTAAGTCCATGGAATAACAATTCATCAAGAAGTGACAACAAAATGGACTTTACATTGGAAGAAGCAAATTATTCCAATTTTGACAATTGTTTCAATTAAAGATGGTAAAGGTGGTCAAAAGGTATAAAGCTGTTGATGGTTTGTTAGTTAATTGGCTATTTTTAGTCCATTATGTTGGATAATCATAAAAGCGAAAATGTAAAAGAGGAAAATAAAGTGTCCAAAATGTTGGCTTTAATCATTCAAATTGAAACAAAATTGAATCACTAAAGTTGATCGTTAAATTTAGTATAATAAAGTAGTTAAATAGATTAACTGGGAAACAGTTAATTGAAATATCAACAGCAATTTAATCACAATCGAGGTTAGTATAAAAAAAGATGCACGAAGTTATTAGCAAATTCATTCAACAAACATTTAATACTTTCACTGGTTAACATTGAAAGAGAGAAGAGAGAGAGAAAAAAAACAACTGAACAAGCGCCGATTTACTATACCGCCATCTGTCTGTTACACAATTAAATTGCTGCGAATAGCTTTTTTTGGCAATTCTGTTGATTTTAATTTCTGTTTAATCTTTATTAATATTTTGTAATACTAATGCTATTGATTTGTATTTTTGGTTTTGAATATTCGACGGAAGTGGATTGGCATCATCCTGGTAAGGTAAAACTCGGTGGCTAATTTGATCTGTTGGTTGGAAAAATTTGGCTAAAGGTAAGTCTTTCATCTTGATTTGTATTGTTGCTTCTTTTTTTTGTCTTCATCTGTTTAATTATTTATTATATTTTCTTGTTCTTTTTTAGATGTTCACTGATACTTCAGTCCATGTGTAAATGATACTTTTGATTGTAAATGGATATTCAGTTTCCTTTGGAGGTGTGCTAAAGGTCCGTAGATTTTATAATCCTAACGTTGAGGTAAGTTGATGAGTTTACCTTTACATTTTTTTCTTCTTGGCTAAATGATACTTTGTTGTCATTAGTTAAGTAAATAGGAAGTATGATAGTTTTGCTTTTAGAAACAATTAACGGAGAAATAATTTTTCTCTCTTGTAATTTTCTTTTACTGTTGAACGATATTGAACTTCGTAATGTACCCAGTCATTACCCAAATGATAATTCATTTATGATTGATAAGTCACTGAAAATAACTGAAAGGACTGAGAATCCATTAAATATAACAAACTATTTTTTTAATTTTGTTAAACATTTTGTTTCTCATTTTATACTCTCTTTTGGTTGTCATAAATTCAAGAATTTAAGGTGGAAAAAAGATGAAGACTAAAATGTAAAATAATATGTTGACTTTAATTTAATAAATAGTTGAACATTAAATTAAAGAATAACAAATTAAGCTCATGAAAAACAGTTTCGCTGATCAACATTAACATTATGCTTTATTTTCTTGCCAAACATTAACAGTATCAATAATTTATCCAAAATTCACTAATGATGAGTTTATTTTTTAGAATGGTTTCTTATAAGAAGAGTTGTGGAGGAACGTAAATCGATGGAAAAAGCAATCGAGTTACCATCAAGGAATCAAGTAGACAGTGACATCAATTGGACGCTATATCAAGTAATCTTTCTGACTATAGACCATTTTGTTTGTGGCTCCTGACCTGATTAGTTACTTGAATTGGTGGGATTTGTAACAACTTTTGAATTAAAAGGACATTGGAGCAGGAACTGCTGGCTGTATTTTATTTCCACCATCTGAAGAAGTCGGATTTTGGTATGATCTTGATCGGCTTATTTGCAATCCAGAAAATAATGGTGAATAATAATCTCTTTCAGAACTGTAACTCGATCGTGATGCAGCTGGCCAATTCTTCTCTTCCCTGGGTTTCAATGTTTCCAATGATGACAAACCCAATGAATTGACTATTGGACTGGAAAATCGTTTTCCATGACCACCAAGACAAGCATGACCATATTGTTGGCAACTACCTCGAAGTGTTATCATGTAATCGTTGGGTGTATTCCGTTGATTTCGACTCTTTGTATCATGGCAATCAACTTGGCTCACTATGAAAAATATCATCAGTAAACTAATTGAAGCTGTACTTGCTGTTTTCAGCATTTCAACTAATTAGCACCAACAAGAAAGTAGGATCAACTTAAATGCAATTTAATTGAAATAACAAGTTTTGATTAATTTACGGTTTCACTGTACAACATCAAATGAATCAAAGTTGTTTTCATAATATTAATATAACACTGCGATTTAAAATTCGTTATGAATCGACTTGATCTGTCCTCTACTTGTTGATCATCAATTGACCAATTTTTTCGAATCATTCTCCTTTTTATTGCAATTGAAAGGGCAAGTCTCTTTTCACTCGCCCAAACATTTACTTCTGGTCATGCAAAATAGTGATTTGCAAAGATATCGAGGATAAAACGATTTAGTAAATTAGAGTGATTCGCATACAAACATACACTGACCCGCGACAATCCAACTTGCTAGTGATATTAAACAAATTAGCTAATTTATTTGAAAGTTTACCTCTGCATGAAAACAACCAATCAAAGCTATTATTAAATGACATTTATCTACATATGAGATCATCAATTTAATGTCGATAATTCCATTATTGACCTAAATTAAAGCCAAAAATACACGGCTTTGGACGAGTAAAATAAAGTTAAGGTTGAAATAAAATTAAAAATATTGAAAATAAAGTTATTTGATCGATTATCTTCTGCCATCTGTCGGTTTTACAACTCAACATAGCTTGGTACATCATTTTAAAAACATTTTAAACAAATATTACAGTAAACGCATTCTTGTGTTTGTCCTAAAATAGGATGAGCAATACTGAAACCAAGGATATAATTATAATCAGAACCGACATGCTAAGACATCGACGTATGAATATTTGTTGAAACCTTACAGTATCATTTTCAAATCTTTTACTTTCTGCTTCCAACAATGTTATACATTTTTCCAAATCTTTGATGTTTCTTTTTCTTTCGACCGCTTTTTTTGCTGTTGTTTCCAGTTTCTGCTTCAACAATTTGGATTTTGATTCTAATTTATCCATTTCTAATGTACTTTGTTTATCTGAAAATCAGGAGAAATTAATAAATTAATTCACTTTGAATTGGAAACACTCAATGTTAAAAATAGTTGTATTTTGGTACAAAAGATGGCTGTATATTGCATAAACCGGATTTCACCAAATCCAATGTTTACATGTGGCTAAAATTGACTAGCAGCTGAATTCAATTTAAACTTGTTGTTTTATTAATTTAAATCAAATTGAAATTCAAACATGCCAACCATAAATATTAAACGGGATCACTTACACAATGAACTTGGTAAGGTGTACAGCCAAGAAGAGTTTGAAGATCTATGTTTTGAATATGGCCTCGAATTGGATGAAGTGGTGAGTTCAACTATTGTTTTAATATGAATATTGAATAGGAATTGTATTAATTTATCTCATCTTGATTTGGATATTTTTCCAGACTTCTGAAAGGGAACAAATAGTAAAAGAAAAAGGAGACAAAAAAACTACTGAAGGTTCAACTGATGTTATTTACAAGATTGATATACCGGCTAATAGGTATGACTTGCTGTGCACAACTGGTTTGGTTAGAGCATTGATGATATTTCAAGGGAAAGTTGACATACCTAAATTTATTGCCGTGGATCCTGTTGATTATTCAACAAACAAGATTTTGGTCACTCAAAATGTAAGCAATTTAATTTTGGGTTTGTAGGTACAATTACTAATCCGAATCCTTTTGTTTATAAAACAACTTGCAATTAAATTTGACTGTTTTATTACAAATTGTTGACTTTCTCAATAACACTTTAGTATCCTTTTTCAATTCTGTCTTCTGATTAGACTCAATCTGTCCGACCATATGTTGTTTGTGCAATTTTACGGAACATAACATTTAACCAAGACCTTTATGATAGCTTCATCGATTTGCAAGATAAGTTACACCAAAATCTATGTAGGTAAGTCTTCCATTCAAAATGTTTTCCTTTTATCCCACTCATCATATCATTTTCCTTTCATAGAAAGCGAACCTTGGTAGCAATTGGAACTCATGATTTGGATACTATTAAAGGACCATTTCTGTATGATGCAAGAACCCCTAACGATATAAAATTTGTTCCACTCAATGAAACTAAAGAGTTTACAGCTGCTGAGCTGATGGAACATTACTCCGTATGTTTTTATATCTAGATTTACTGAAGCGTTCAAAAATTTAATCTCTGTTTTACATTTTATTCAGGGTAATAGCCATCTTAAACCATATCTTTCAATCATTCGGGATGAACCAAAATATCCAGTAATTTACGACGCCAATGGAACCCTACTTTCATTGCCTCCAATAATTAATGGTGACCACAGTAAAATCAAATTGACAACCAAAAATATATTCATCGAATGTACCGCAACGGATGAAAACAAAGCTTCAATCGTATTGGACACCATTATTTGTATGTTCAGTGAACACTGCTCACCAAAATTTCAGTAAGGAAATTATAGTCAAACTCCTTTTTAACCTCAACGTATTTAATGTGTTATTTTTCCCCATTTTCAGAGCTGAAAAAATACAAACTATTTATGAAGCTTCTAATGAGACCAAAACCTATCCAGTAAGTCAAATTTGCGTTTGCTTTTAAAAGGCTTTCGGATTCAATGTAAATCATTAACAATATTTTCTATCTACAGAAATTAAACACTCGGTCCGAAAAACTACCCTATGACCGTGCTAGTCGAATGTTAGGAGCCAAGTAAGGATAACTTTTCTTGTAAATTATCTGAAATGGTTGACTTGCCTATTAAATCTATTTTTCATTACCATGTAGGCTATCAAAGGAAGAGATTTGCAAATTATTGGACAGAATGCAACTTAAATGTTCATCTGATGATGATGGTTCCCTAATCAACATTGAAATACCACCTACTCGTCAAGACATCCTTCATGCTTGTGATATCATTGAAGATGTTGCTATCTCTTATGGATATAACAATATTGTCAAGACGCTACCAAAAGTAGTTACTATTGGGTCTCAGTTTTCACTCAACAAATTATCTAACCAACTTAGATATGAATTATCAAGATGTGGATACACCGAAGCTTTGACATTCTCTTTGGTAAGATATTCAATATTGACTGCATAAATGAAGAATGCCAAGTAAATCTGAAAATGAAAATTTTCCATTCAACAGTGCTCAAAGGATGATATCGCTAACAAAATGAGACTTGAAAATGAAATTTCCAGAGCTGTGCACATTGCAAATCCCAAAACTATTGAATTTCAGGTTTGATTATTTTCTTATTCCATTTAAACTGAATACTTGTGTGCATTATCCTGTATCTATGCTGCTAATTGGTTCAGCATTTCACTTTGATTTGTCTTTAGGTTGCTAGGACATCTTTAATTCCAGGATTACTGAAAACCGTTGAATCAAATAAGAAAATGCCTTTACCTCTCAAGCTTTTTGAAATTTCCGATGTTGTCCTGAAAGATTCAACTAAAGGTAAAGAGATTAACTGAAAACCTATCTTCTACTTTTTCCTATTTACTCTTGTTTTCTCCATCAAAATGTTTCTCCTTAATTCTTAATTAATGATATAATTTGTCTTTCTTCAATTTATCCATTTCACCCTCTTCCCTTATTTTTACCTGTATTAAGATGTTGGCTCACGAAATCAACGAATGTTGGCAGCTCTTCATTATAACAAATTTCCAGGATTTGAGGTTATACATGGATTGCTTGATCGAATCATGCAAGTAATGGAAGTAAAATATAATTCTGAAGGTACAAATAAAGGATATTTCATTGAATCAACAAATGGTAAGTTCTCAAGCTAAAGGAAGAAGCCCGTTTAAACTTTGATCATCCTCCAATTATTAATACCAACCTTTTCTTATTAATTCTACTTTTTCTTTAGATGAACGATTTTTACCTGGTCGATGTGCCTCCATCATCTACAATGGTAACTCAATTGGAATCATGGGTGTATTACATCCTCAAGTTATTACAAATTTCGAATTAGTTCAACCATGCGCAGCATTGGAAATTAATGTGGAAACCTTTTTGAAAAGATGAAAATAGTCGCCAAAATCCAATCAATTCAACTTCATTTCTCGAAGTCAACTTGCACAAGAACTGTACTTTTGTTTTTATTTTCTGTGGGAAAAGGAATAAGGATGGAAAGAAGAAGAAGAAGACGAATCTTGTCCAAATTAAGTGGATTGTTATTTATTGAACGTTTCCAGCAACAATAACAATAAGCATTAAAATTGTGAAGTTAAAAACAAGATAAACAACAATAAAGTTTATCTCTAGATCACCAAAAAAATCCATGTCCAGCTCTCCATTAAATGGACACAAAATGGAAAGACATAAACCATTATTATAAATTTAAACATTTATTTATATCTCTGTATAAGGTTTCTTGTATGCCTTATATAAGATTGGTTCATAACTTTTCAAATCATTAATAAACTTGAAGAGAGATTGAGAGAAGAGAAAAGAAGAGTAAGAAAAGAAAAACTTAATTCAAGGCCCATTAAAGTTTCCAGTTTAATCTTGTCACATTCGATGATGAACAGTTGATATTATTGCTTTAAATTAGTTTTGTTCATCAATATAAATGACAATATCTTCAACACAGAGACAAGAGGAAAAGCTAAACGTATAAGCGATTTCATTAAATCCAAAAAGCAATCACATAAAGCAACCTTAAAAATGGATGTAACTTTATCGTGAAAAAAAGTGATCATTTTGTCATCTAAAATAATAAGCTAAAAATAATACCTTTTAATGGATCTCATAAGCAAAACATAATGAATAGAAGCAAGAATTTGATAATATATTTTGGCACAAATTTTCAAACAAATTTTCCAATAAATTTAAGCAACCATTAAATCACTTTCAATTTGTTACTCAATCACATGAAGATTAACTTTCGATTATATTTTCCTACACAAAACATGGAACATTTTAGATTCAGAAATGAAGAGCAAGAAGAAACAGAAGAAGATGAAGAAGATGAGAAAAAATGAAACCTGGAAAACACTTTCTTCCATTAATAGATGGTGCTCATGGACAATCAATTTTCAAAAGAGTTGGTTACTCAACCTTTTGGTTACCGCGCAGTGATGATAAGAGTTGAGCAAAAAGTGTTGCTTTTTCTTAGTTTTTACATGATGGTTAAACGAAGAGATTTCATTAAACGTTTAGCTTTCACATGAAACTAAATGATCTCAGTTGAGTGAAAATGAGTGTAAAGACAATTTGTTAGACAGTTTAATGTTGAAGTTAAAGTTGAAGTTGAGTTGTTTATGTTGCTGTTACCGAAACCTGAAAAATGGATCCATTGAATTTTTGCGACCCAACCGAGTGCAATCCTGTCCAGTACAATAAATCCAATCAAATACCATAGTAAATGAAAGTAGTGACCACAAACTCTGAACATATAAACACATCCACACACAGACTTTATACCAAAATGGCTTGTAACTTGCTCATCTTTGGATTGTTAACCTTTCTACCAAGTGCAATAACCAGTTCAATAATAGTAAACAACGGAAACAACAACGGATTTCGTGCTAGTGATTATCTTAACCTAGGTTCAACCAATGGACATAGAGATGTGCCTCATTGTCCCAATATAACTCGCAATTCACGGTTAAAATGTGCCCAAAGTTTGGATGTACAAGCATGTGGTTGTTACGTTAAAGCATACCGACGTTGGCTTAACTCAAGTGTCTCAGTGTCCCATGAAAAGGCATCTTGTTGTTCAAAGTTGGAGGTGCGAAATTGTGTTGAAAGGCTGTTACGGAACGAGAAGCGAGACTGTAAACCTCGCTGGGAAAAAGAAGCTAAAAGGTATACAGAGCTTGTTTTACCGCTTAAGGAATACTCATGTCGAGATTATCGCAAGCAAGAATACTGTAAACTAGAGTCAATCAATTTAACTCTAATTATTTTGTTAATAACAGTTGCTTTGCTTGCAATTATTGCCTGTCTAGGATTCACTGGTTATGCTTGTTACAGAAGATACAATGAATAGTTGAACCTTCAATTCAGAAGGTAAAACAAAAAGTTGAGAGATAAATAAAAAAACGAAAAAAACGAAATGAAAAAAAAGGAAAAAAAATTTTGACAAAAAAATTGAAAAATTCTGTATTTTGTATTAAGCTATTAACCATTAAATAAAACTTGACGTTATTTACAAGATTAACTCCGTTGACGTTTACAGTCGACATTGAGCCGTTTCTCAATCATTTCATTGATTAACCATTTTTTGTAGTTTCTTTTGATACAATTCTGGTTCATTGTAAATGGAAGCGTGTGATTCTCAGGAGAAATGAATCAACAAAGTAAACAGGGAAAATGAATTAAATTTTGGATCCAAAACAAAGCATTTTTTTGTACTAACAATACAAATGTAATCATCACTTGAATAATGTCTTGTAATGTAATCATGCTGTAAAACGGTCATTACGAAGTTGCTCAAGTTATCATTGGAGTAAATTATTGATTAAAGGAAAGGAATTGGACGAGGAAAATGTTACAACTTAACGTTACATTTAAAGTATATTTAGTTTTTGTGATGATTGTTGAGGATGAAAATGAACAATCAATAATGATTATCATCAATTATTCAAAAAAATGTGATGATTATCATGCATTACCAGATGATGAATCTACTTTATGAATGATAACTATTCTTGTCAGGTCAACATTAATCATGCAAAAAAGTGTAAATAGTGCAGAATCCGAACATCAAATAAAGTTGGAAACTCTTTGGTCAATCATGAGTTCTGAGAGGAAACAAACTTGCAGAAGTTGCAGTAAATTTTGAATGAAAAGATAAAAAAACAAGAAAATCAAATTCGACGAAATTTAAGAATTCAATGTTTTCTAAAAAATCGAAGATCTAAAGCAATGCACAAATCTAAAGAAGTCTCGAGTAATTGCAATTGATTTATAAATTTAAGTAAAACATGTAATTCTGAGAAAATTAGAAAAGAGAAAAAAATTTCAGAAAAATTATTCGAAATGAAATTCGAAATTTTTGAAAAGATAAACTCCGATGGAAAGTAGAACAGCAAAGTCGATGTAAAATTCAAAAATGAATGTTTTCTGGAAACGAAAAGAACTCTTATAAGTGAAAATCTAAATTGTGATTTGTGTAATTGATTTATGAGGGCTGAAAAAGCATAGAATTCTTGGAAATTTTGAAAAGAAAAAAAGAAATTTTAGAAAATGAAAAGTTCGAAATTCTTGAAATTTACAGAAGATTTTCTTCAAAATTCAATTCGAAATGACAATGGAAAATGCAAATTTCAATGAAGCTTGATAAATGTAAGAAGTTGGAAAATTGATGAAAATTCTGATGCAACTGAACTTTTATAAACTTTAAAAGATTGGAAAACCATTAGAATCGAGAAAATAGAAAACTCAGATTAATGATGAATGTCGAGGAATTTGCAATTTTGGAAAAAGAAAAACGAACAAAATCGAAACTCGAAATTGGGACATTGATGGATTAAATCTGTTTGGACCATTCAATTGAAGTTATCCAAGTTGTTTTGAAACAAAAGATGAAATGATTAGTTACAAGTGACTCTCCTTACGGCTATTTGTGCTGATTATCAATGTTATTATTGTTATCATCATTATCATCATCATTATTATAAATTTCATTGTAAGAAGAAGAAGAAGAAGAAGAAATTATTCATCTTGGAATAGCTTTTAATATCTCACTTTGGGTTATATCAAATTATCTGGTAAATTGCTTTTGACTGGTCAAATACAAATATTAATAGTAATAATGTTTCTAGCATTTCTCTTCAGGGAAGGCAGAAAAGAGTTGCAAGAAAAGGAAGAACAAGAAAAAAGAGTTTCTCTTTCCTTTTCCTTTTCTCTCTACTTTCCTTTCTTCTTTTCATCATCATCATTATCATGTAATGTTCATTCAATAATATTACAAAACCAAAATAAGTGTGATGATTGATGGTCATTCGTCTTATTTCCTTCTCAACAAAACAACACAAAATTATACATTTTCCACTTGCTTCTCATTTCTGAACAAACTTTAACCCTCCATTCAAATCCAATCAAAGGCACACGTAACAATCAGTTAGCAAGAATGAAAATATCGTTGAAAAAGAAATTTTAATCTTTTCTTTTGATCATCTTTTCCAATCCTTGTAATCCATCAAAGAGTTTTGATGCAACATCTTGGTCAACCTTTGGATCACCTTAAAAGGCCATCAACTTGCAACTCAAATTAAATTACCGACCTTCAATCAAGGTATGGATGGATGGAAATGGCTTCAGAACGTGAAATGTATTCTTCAAATGAAGATATGTCATGATGACAGACTTTACGTGTTACAGAAAGCAATGGCATACGAGTTTTCGTCGATTACTAGAAGATGGATAAAGAAGCACAGTTCTGATAGTTATATCCAAGCCTTGGAAAACATTTACCAAGTCCAGTATCTCAAAGGCAGAATTTCATAAAATGAAATGTCATGATTCTGATACTCAAGAGTCTGGTCGTAAACTTGAAAAATTGGTGATTAAAGTTTAAGTTTCGTCTCTTTTCAATCAACCAATCTCTTCATTCTCCTGCCTGAATCAATCATTTGCCAGCATTCAATTTTGCTATCCATTTCCATATGAAACTCGTTAAACATTTAAATCTCAAGAAAACCTTTGTTTCTCCTTTTTTTCTGCATCTTTTTCCTTCTCTACTCTGGATTGTCACATTTGTCTTAATAAATGACCTTAACATTGGGCTTGCATAGGGTTGACAAAATCAATAGTAGCTCATGAAGAGAGATAAACAAGAAGAATCCAAGAAAAGGAAAAGTAAGTGAAAGTAAATACAAGACAATGCTGAGTTTATCACTGAATGTTGCCTCCAAAGATGCTTTGGGAATGCAATAAAGCAATTGTTACTTAGAAGCATTGCTCCAAATAATTAGGGCCAAAAGTGATAAGAGTTATATAACAAAGGGAAAAGAGAAAAGAGAAAAGAAGAGAAAAAAAAAGTCTTTGTATTTAGCCTTTGATATGAGGTCCTAATGTTAATGATAACATCAGTTGATATCGTTATCTTTTCATTCTTATATTTGATTCTTACTTTCACATCATCATCATCATCATCATCTTTCTCTGTCTTTCTCAACCTTTTACTATTCCCCACCAATGAGCAAATAATTGTCTTAAGGTCATGGGAAAGGTTCAAGAGAAAATGAATTATACACAAAGAATAACATGATAGAAGAAGAGAAAAGCAAAAATAAAGACTTTTCACTTGTTACCCTAAATTAGTTGCATATAAAAGGGTTCAAAGTGCTTCTATTAAAGCAAGAATGAAAAAATTGATTCAAACTAATCTGATCAAATGTTGAAAAGGATTTTCAAAAGTGATGTAAAAATAGCAACGAAACGAGAATGAAAGAGTTTGAACCAGCAAAAAAAGGGAATAAAAGGTAAAAATTAAACTGTCCATTTTCTGGTTGGAAACTGGATTTAAAACGAACTGACCAAAGTCTCAAATCTTCATCAATTTATATTTTCAACTTTAAATCTTTTGAGGTTTGAACAAAAACTTTTCAAGAGCTTACAAGAAATTGAAATTTCCAACAAAAAGTGTCTTAAGAACTGAAACTGTTGAAATGATTATTGATTGCGCGTCAAGCGATAAGTTTCATTTTTCATGGAAAATGCAAATTAGTCCAAGTTGTTGTAACGTGACAAATGAATTTTATCGGCAATTTTTCTTTTCTCTCGTCTATTATTTAACAATTTGTTGGTGAAGAAGAAGAGGAAAAAATTCCAATCATTAATAACTTGAACATCATGAATATTCACAATGGATCGAGTGGAAAAACCTCATGCAGGTA